ATCATCACAACTTTTTTCCATTAACTAATTTTGCCTTGTTATCTATTTGTCCTGAAGGATGAGGCAGCTTTTAATTTAGTATAAAATTATGTATAACTGACTCTTTTTTAATGGTTCATGGGACTCCACGCCAGGTAGGGTGGCTTTCCAGAGTAACACAGAGTCTCTATCTCAATAATGACTGAAGTCACACAGGAAACAAGATGATCAAAAGTTCACCAAATGGTACTGGCATGAAGTACTCAAAGCAGGCTCTCCTTATGGGCTGGGGCTTCATGGGGCTCTGAGGTAGAGGTAAAATAAAGCTGAAACCTCAGGAGGAAACTACAGGTATAAAGGAACAGGAGAACCAAGCTGGAGTTCTGGAAAGGAAGGGAATGGCTGAGAAGAGTAGAGTTGGGTGAGTCATGCAGTAAGTCAGTAACTGGAAACACAGTTTGGGATCAAATTATAAAGGAAGAACAGGGAAAGTTAAGACTACCTTTTCTGAGTTCTTATGTATGTATTAGCTCATTTGGTAGTCACAGTTAACTCCATAATGGAGGCTGTGTATTTTTTTTTTCTTCCGGTACCAGGAATCGAACTCACGACCTCACGCTTGCCAGGCAGGCGCTGTGCCGCTGAACTAAATTCCAGCCCCGAGCCTGTGTATTTTATAGGAGAATGCTTGGCTAAAAAAATCTGTTGGCCTAAAAGAATTTCATCACAGAACTCTAAGGGTAACAGCACAGGCAACACAAATACCTCCTCTCCCAGAGTCTAGTCAACTGCAAAGGGCCAGAGTTACACTGCACAAGTAATGCTACCAGGGACCCTATACAGTATGTGAGGGCTGCTGCTTTGGTTACATTATAACCTCTACAGCAACTGTTAAAACCTAAAGCAAAGAAGTACAGCTCAAAAACCAATAAAATGTAGTTAATTTTGAAAACCGAAATAAAGTTGAAGGAGTACATAGGGATATAGATAAAACATGATTGGCCATGGGTTGAAAACTGCCAAAACTGGATGATGATACAGAGGATTAATCATACTATTATTTTCATCTTTGTCAATGTTTAATAATCCCACAATAAAAAGTTTGGAAAAAATACATTATGCAGAAATTTTAAAAAGGTCACTTGGTCTTCCTATGCCAGTCATTATACAGGACTTCCTGGATTAAAAAGTTTTGAACTCTCCATGCAATAAAAAGCACAACTACTCAGATGCACTAAGTAGCAAGTTTTGGACTCAGTAAGCACCACTGTCACCATCAGTTGATTAAAATTCCTGGTGCCTGGAACCTTTCCTGGCAATTTTAAGTTAGTGGGTCTGGAGTGGGATCTGGGTATGACTCCAGCGCCATTGATCCGTGTTTGGAAGTTTTGAGAACACAGCTTTAAGGGGTCAGTTCTATGGGCTGTCACATGCAAGCTGCTACTTTTCATCCCTATCTTTAGTTTGGTTAACTCCCTGCAAGTAGAATGATGAATGTGTTTTATGTACCATCTTAACTACATCAACACATCATGAAACACTGCCATTGATTCTTACTTTGTAACTCCACCAGTGTCTCTTATGCAGACCACTTTAGCTGCTTTAGTTTCGAAACACATCTCTGGGTGTTTTTCTTCAGGCAACTCATTTGACTCCCATGTTGTTACATCTCCCATGTTGTTACCAAAAGCACAGGGCCAGCTTCACAGGTGGCTGACCCACGTAGCCACAAAGGGCTGCATACTCAGAAGGGCCTCCTATTGATTTACTGCTCTCCTGTCACTGTACTAGAACTCTTAATTTTATCCTTGAACTTATATTTTGTAAGTCACAGACATGAGTAGAGACATGTGTGTCCACTGTTTCAGAGTGCCCATGCATGACAGCTTTCCTGAGCATGAGATTCCAGGGGACCCACCATGTGGCACAGCTTAGTCAAATCAGCACAAAGCAAACATGTTATGCCTATAGCTGAATACATGGTGTACTGAGAGCCCCAAGAAGCTTTGTTTCTGTTTGAAACAGACTTTCTTCAAACAGAAAGAAGGCAATGGTATCCTAGAAATGTGAATTATTGAGGAACCCTATCCTATCCTTTCTTACTTATGTTATTTTTCTGTATTAGCCAACTACTGATGCTGAAAAGAATAGCACAGAAGAAAAGGAAAACAGGGCAGTTCACACATCTTTTTCTTTAGTCTTTTCTTATCCATAGGTAAACTAGTTAGGGTAGGTTGGTAAGATATACACATATCAAGAGATGAAGTAACAGCTCATGAAGTTTTATGCAGCTTTTCTACTATTCTGGAAAGAACGGAACACATAAGCATGCAGTATGTATACATAAGCTATAAACTACAAATTGTGTAATTTTGGCGACTGCGTGAGTTGATGCTTTTATATTTGTAAACTGAAATGGCGCAATGGTAAAATGCATTTAAGAAATTTTGGGTTTTCTCTACTTCAACTAGCTTTAAGTAGCAAGCAGAAAACCTCATGAAAAGCTGTAAGACAGACCATGAACCAAGCAAGCAGAAAACCTCATGAAAAGCTGTAAGACAGACCATTTTAGTTCTTTTAGTGGTACTGTTCTTCTGTGGTGGTGGTTGTTTTTTTTTTTTTGAGGAGGGTGGGCTCTCATTATGTTGCCGAGGATGGGCTTCCAATTGTGATCCTCCCCAGTGGCCTGGATTCCAGGCGTGTGCCACTGCATCCAGCTGTTTTCCTGTTTTGTACAAGAGGCCCACTTCTTCAATTTTGCTGAGCCCTGCCTACTTTGTAGCTGGCCCTGCTTTTCATGGCTCTGTCCCTTGAGGCAGGCCTTAGCCTGTCCTTAACCCCTGTCCTGACAGCCTTTTGAGGACTCCCACTGCTTATCACCGGTCTAGTGGGCACCACTGCTCTCCTGGTTCCTTTGCTGCTTCACTTGTGCACTCTAGAACTGGACTGAAACTAACTGGTGGGCTCCCTGAGTGCTAAGTGAAAGAGACTGGCTGCAGTGGAAGAAATTGTGACTTGTGGCTCCCCTTTCAACCTTGACTAGTCTTGGAGAAGCAGTCAAATCCTGGTCCTTTCGTTTCCTCCTTGAATTATTGCATTTTTATAAATGCTTGAACTGTAATAACCTAAGCAATTAAAAGGGCTAAAATAGCTCCCAAACTAGGAAAAATCTGACATAGTCATATCATTGTTGAAAACATTCAAAAATGTGTAAATGACCAGAGTGAATCAAAAATGGGTTTGGAGCAGCAAAAATAAGAGGTACCACTTTTAACATTCCCATATTTTAAAGTGACTGAATATGCTATTAACACGAAGCTCTATTTATGCTTCCAAAGACTTTTAAGCACTAATGTTTCAAAATTTTGAACCATTATAAAAATTAGGAAGCAACCAACTAGACTCTGACTCAATCCTTGAAGGCCAATTCTTCCCCTTGGTTTTCCTCAGGGGCTATGAAAAGTGGCAAATGGAGGAAAGACTCAAGTTCCTTTTTCATGAATATCACTACGGCTAACAATCAAACCAAAATGAAACACTTGATAAATACTCAAGTGGTATCAGAGTCACATGCAGGTAGAGAACCACAGGGACTTCTTTTAGCTCCCCAGTGGGTCATGGAAAAAGGAAGTCCTGGATAACTGTACAAGGAATCCTGGGCAATCACTGCAGAAGAGACAAGTCACACACGAGAATAAAGACAAGCTGGAACTGAGGCGTGCATCTCATACAGGTCTTTGGGCCTCACTCCTCAGGGCTCTTTCTCCCCCAACCTCAGGAATTTCAGTCAAAAACTGAAGCCACTCAAGGGCTGTGTAGGTGACTCCCTACTATCCCTCTTGGGAAGTACAGGGAAGGCTTTGTCTCTGCCCAGTGCTGGGCCACAAAGTGAGGAAACAGACATTCCTAATTGCAAACGTGAGCAACTTTCTGTATAGAAATTCTGTTAGATGTAGTAGGTAAATTCAAAATTATCTTACATCAAATCTTAGACATAAGCTAAGGGTGGTAGCACATGCCTATAATCCCAGCACTTGGAAGGCTAAAGTAGGATGATCACAAATTCCAGTCTTGCCTGGGCCACTTAGTGAGACCTTGTCTAAAACGAAGATGTAGTTCAGTGTCCTGTGTCTGATCATCAGTGTCACACACACACACACAAAAGACAGAAATTAGGCATATAGGGGGCCAGCTAGATGCCTAGTCCCCCTCTACATCTATAGGAAAATGATTTCTGAATTATAAAAAATTTTCAAAGGAACTCAGAACTCCACCCTGATCTAAGCAGGGACTGCCTCTCTTAAGGTTATTCCAGGACAAGACAAAGTGGGGGTAGAGGTCACAAAGCTGTGAACAGGCAGAGAAGATGCAGTGCTTCTGTTCAGTAACTAGCTTCTCAACACTGTATGAGAGGCTTGCAAAATAGTATTGGGAGTTTGTTTTTTCTTTTTGTTTTTAAATGGTTAGAATAAAGTATAGCAGAAGTACGTATCTCCTTAAAAAATAAATTTTGGCAAATTTTGACATAAAACTAAAAGCAAAAAAATTTACAGGACACTGATGAGGAAGTTTATAGGAAACTGAAAAATGAGAATACTGAAATATGTTCCTGGTAAAGAATATAAAGAATATATTCAAAGTTTTCATGAAACATACAGCCCATGAAGTTAAGGCATTAACACTATCTAACAACAAAAATTAACTCATTTCAGGAAGATCAGTATGGAAATATTCTAATGTAGTGATGTCCAAAGTAACTTTCTGTGATGAGGGAAACATTCTATATCTCTGTGCTGTCCAATATGGAATCCGCTAGCCATGTGAATTCTTGAAATGTAAAGGCAACTGAGGACATGAAGTTTTCACGTAACTTACATAGCCACATGTGACTAGTGGCTACTTACTCAACTGTGCAGCTCCAACATTTCTTGAGTCAAAAACCAGTGGTTTCTTTCAAGGGACTTCTCCCATTGCTGCTAAGGTACTGAAGGTCAGGTGTGCAAAGAAAGGAAAGCTCTTAATCAATTTCTCTGGCCACTTAAGATCTAAAATTCTATACAGCTTTTGCGGGCAGAGGCTGGCACAACCCACTAGAAAGAGTGTAAGAGAAGGACGCTTGGGTAAAATTCAGTACATATGTCCAATCCCCAGCTATTGTAAGTGGGAAGATTTTTGTCATTCAGAAAGATGCTTATAATTGCACAAAATCAGGTGTGGCCACCTCTGGAGCCATCTGTGCATGGAAATTACTACCGTGAGGCTGGTAGAGAAATGGAGGCGGTGCTCATTTTCGGATAGGGTTTGCAGAGCTAGAGGATGGTTTGGAGGCAGAGGGAGCTGAGGGCCCTTTCTGGCCACCTGCAGGCTGAACAGGCCCTTTCTTCTTTGGGATTACAGTCTTGTTCTTGGTCTTAAATACTTTGCTTGGATCCAGCTTATTCATGAAGGAGTCGGTCTCTCCAGTGAGCAGATCTGTGTTGTAGGTGATGGGCTTATACAAGCTGAACCACTGCTGTAAGGCAGAATTGGGAGAGAGGGTCAAAACTCAAAGGAAAATTTCATTCTCAGTAAGGCTGTGGCGGGAGAGAGCTGGGGACAGCAGAGAAAATACAGGCTGAGCGTCCCTAATCTGAAACTTTTCTAGTATCAACCAAGAAAGTCTATGCACATATTACAAAATTTGAAAAACTCTGAAATGTGAAACACTGCTGATCCCAAGCATTTCAGATAAGGGATACTCAATTTGTGTTCATTTTAATGAGAAACTGCCTTGAAAACTCGTAGCTCTTCACTAAGAGAAAGTGATGATAGACCCCATCTATTCTTGGTCAGACACACATGTTTTGAGAAGCCTAATCAACTCTAAAATAAATGCAGTATAGTACGAGAAGTAAGGCTCCAAGTGCACTTCTTTCCTTCTGATCTAATGAGCCACTAGGGGATAGTGTCTTTTTTTTTTTTTCCCCAGTCCCAGGAATCGAACTCAGCACCTTGTGCTTGCCAGGCAGGCACTGTGCCACTGAGCTAAATCCCCAGCCCCAATAGTGTCTTTTTGACTAGTCCTCAAAGTAGCTATTCCTCATCAGGTGGATTCTGGCAGCACCACATCCCCCATCCTCTACCCCAGCAGAGGTACAACAGGCTACTGTGGGCTTTTCTAAGGGCAGAGGTACGTGCAGGTGTTTTCTTCCTTACTGGTTTTCCGAGTAGTTGAGGGAAAACAGCATCCTAATTTATTGGCCTTTCTTTGATCACAACCACCTCACAATGTTGACCAGATGGAAGTTATCACTACATGGCCTTTGAGGAAAATGAGGCCTACTCAGTGAATAAGTAGCAAGGTGGCACTTGAGCTGAGTCCCTAATTTTCTGCTAATTTAATGTTTCAGAAATCACCACGAAGGAGCACAGACCAGTTCATTCCAGGCACAAGTTCTTCAGCGACACTTTGTGTTCTCAAACCAGGATGTACATCACTTTTACCTGGTATCTCTGTTTGAAATGATGCCAAGACTTGTAATATAAAAGATGCATAGCCATACAATGGAATACTCTGTAGCCATTAGGACAAAGTAGCAAGATAGAATACTGAGTGAAAATAACAATGTGAAGAAAAAACGCAAATAGCACATTATCATTGTGATTTAGCAAAAGCAAAAAGGGATCCTCAAAAATGTATGCTTTACAAGCAATGAGTATCTCAGGAAGATACACAAACTGTTAACTGTGGGTTCCTATGGGAGGACAGGGGAATAAGAGATGTATTTTTTACCCTTCTTGAATACATGAAATGCCAGTCCAAAAACAATTTATTCCTAAGCCTCTAATAACATTTAGTTAGAAATAAAAACTCCCAAGATGGTTGATTCTGAGGGTCAACCAAGTTTGGGAATCACTTAAATACAATAGATAAATACAAAGTGAGGTTGTCCATGCAATGGAAACAACTGCCTTGGTTTTTTAAAAACATGGGTTCCTGGGCTCCACCCCAGACCTCATAAATCAGAAGGGGAAGCTGGGAATTTTCAAAGTAACCATTTCCTCAAAGGATTTTATTTTTTCTGAGACAAGGTCTCACCATGTATTTCAGCTTGGCCCTGAACTCACTATGTAGCCCAGGCTGCCCTCAAACTCACAGTAATCCTCTTGCCTCAGCCTCCTGAGTGCTGGGATTAGGCTGGCAGAATTTTAATATACATCACATTGTGAGATGACAGGTGTTCTCCCCTTACCTTGGCCTGTGGGCTAATGCCATAGCTGGTGAAGGCATACTGCCACTGGGGCAGACCCAGGTGGGTGATGAGCAGGCGATAATAGGCAGTAAAAGTATCTGTGAGAAAATGCCAATATAACGCTCTGTCCAGGAACCAGATTTCAGTGTCTTGTGCTAATGCTAAAATAACAAAGGAAATAAATAATACAGATAGTTTAACATTTTTTCCCTTTAAAGTATAAAGTTAACATACACAAGGTTAAAAGAAAAGCAAAAGTAGAGGAGATATAACATATACAAGTTCTCTTTTTTCCTCTTCCAATCTCTTGGCCCCATTCTCCAGTGGCCACTTTTGCCAGTTTCTTTGATACTCTTACACTTTTTTTTTTTGTAGTACCAGGAATCAAACTCACAACCTAGCGCTTGCCAGGCAGGTGCTGCTGAGCTACATCCCTGGCCCTCCTGTACATTCTTCATCGTTAGTCACTAGATCTATCTGCCACGCTCTGGCTATCTGGAAGCATATTCAGGCTGTCTAAGCAGATGTTCCTTTCTGAGCGGACTCAGTACCCTTCTCCCTCACTATATTGTAATTTACAGCTTTTCTGAAGAAGAGAAACTCTGGCTCAGGCTCTCTTGAAGAGGCTCTCTCTAGTGGTGCAGGTTCTCTTAGCAATCAGAAGTGCTGTGAAAACCAATTATAAGAAACTCAGACCAGCTCACTTCTGGGAATTCTGCCTGTGTGGCTGTGACAACCTGGTTGAACAGAAACAGGCACTATTATACCAGCTCTTCCTGCCTTGCATCTTCTGGCCTTCCATTTTTACTACCTCAAGTCTGTCTGAGTTCATCTCCACCTAGATAGCTGTAAATTTCCCTAAGTGGGCTCCATCATCCAGTCTCTTCCTTTCCTAGAACTTCTTTTCGGCTTTTTGAGACAAAGTCTCACTATGCAGTTCAGGCTGGCCTTGAGCTCACTCTGTAGCCCAGGCTGGTCTCAAACTTGCAACGATCCTCCTGCCTCAGCCTCCTGAATGCTGGGATTACAGGCATGTGCCACCATGCCCAGCCCCAGAACTTCTTATGGTCACAAACATTTTCACTTAAATCCTGTCATTCTCCCAAGCCGTCCTGACTGTCCACTGTCTTCCACATTATGTCTAACACACTGTTCTACATGAAGGGGTAGTTTGCCTTTTGGCTTTCTCTTCTTCCTCATCTTATGTGACCCCCTGAATTGAACTGCTACTCCCCCAAATCAGTTGCACTTTCCCATAACATAGCTTTTATCCATTTGCCCTTTTGGTTGGATGTCCCTTTAACCCTCTGTCTCATATCTAATTCTAGTCACAGTTCAAAATGCAGCTCACAGGCTATTTTGCTATAATTCCTCCACTTAGAGAAGGTCTTTTCACACCCCAGAGGTAAATGTTGGTGCATCTCTTAACCATCACACAGAGTTAGCTGAAGAGAGGTAGGCCAGCTCTCAGTCCCCCAACCCAAATTGCTGTTAGCGGGCCAGGCGGTGGTTGCTGCTCAAGGGCACAGAACCTCCGTAGCCACTACCTGGCCCCTTTTCTTTTACTTTGCCAAGTGGGGTCTAGTAATTCAGAATTTATTATTGTTAACTAGTCTAGATATAGAAGTTTAAAAGAAAAGAGTGTTTCCTGGATGCTTATCTTATCCATGAGCCTGCAGGAGTCTATGAACACAGTGACCTTTTCTTTCAGGTTTTACTCCATTACCTAATCCCAATGACTGTTTCGCAGTAACTCACATGTGCAGATGGCTAGAAGCTGGCCTCAAGGGGAATGCTTGCAAATGATCAAAGGTGCTTTCTGGGTTTTCACACATCCCAGAGACCTGGCAGCATCTCAGGGGACCAGGGAGGTATGTGCTTTTTGTTTGATGGGCGACAAGCAAAGTCAGGAAGACCAAACCCAAACTGTATGACCACGTTTGTAAAGGATTCTTACCTGGTTTCCCAGTTTTGTAGACAAGGCAAACCTTCCCATTTCCATTGCATGAATCCAGCTCAAATATCACACTTCGAGAGTCAAAATGAGGCTTCTCTGGCTGGTCCTCACTGGCTGCAAACCCAGAAGTTACAGTAAGGTTCAAACAAGCTCAACAAACAAACAAACACAGAGCTGTACATTTAAAAAACAAACAAACAAAAAACAAAACAAAAAAACCCAAAAAGCTGTCTCTCAGACACATTCTGAAGTATTATTTTCCAAAGAATTATATGCTTTAAATGCCCTAGATCTACTGATAGATTTGGCCTTCTGTCTGGGCTTTCCCACCATCAGGGACTCAACAAAAACTATCACAAGGACATCCTAAAACCCACAAGAAATTCCTTCACATCTTACATTTATCTTATGCCTTATATGCCTGGCTCATTTTGCACATATTTTCTGTATCAAGGTTCACTGTGATAAACTCTTTAAGACTAAAGAAGTTCATTTAAAAACACCTGCCTAGAAATGTCTGTCTCCACTTGTGGGTTGACATCAATTTCTACAATTACCTTCTGAGACCAATGAACCTTGCTTCAGTGAAGCTTATGAGGAATTTTCTTTTTTGCTTTTAAAATCTTCCTTTATCTAAACTCATCAATTAATTTATTCCCATATTTTATTCTACTCAAATTTATTTTAGCAACTGATTATGATCATTTGTTGCTTGTTGCTTGCATGATTAGATCCATCTGACTCCATCTTTATTTTTAAACAATGTACTATTATTTCCCTAACCAAGTTGGGTACCCAGAACTCTAAGATGGCCCCCAAGATTACTGCCACCTGGTGTACACACCACTCTCCCCTAAGGGCACTTGGGAACCTGTGAATATGATGGGTAGTCATTCTTCTCATTAGATTACATTTAAAGAAAAGTTCAAAGCACAGTAGGAAGAAATTTTTATGGCTTAATGTGAAAGGGTCATGTGACTGGTATCTAAGGGCAGCCTTAAGTTGCTGAAAGTGAATCCTGGACTGGAGGTACAGCTTATATTCCTCAACCATAAGGATGAAAATCATACCAAAAGGCTGTTGCCATAAGAAGCCAGAGGGATCCTGACTTTCTCAGGCAACTACAACAGCTAGTTCCAGATTTTTTGCTACAAGAAAAATTATACTGTTATTTAGACACTGTAAAAGAGTGTTACAGTTTTTATCTTGGTGTTCTCCAATAGCCTCATAGGCAAAGCTTTGGGAAGGTAGCTGGATTATAGAGGGTTATAGCTGACTTGCTGTTAAGAGGTGGGATCTGGTCAGGAGAGGCAGGTCTCTAGGCGGGTCATGGCCTGGAAGAGTTTTTCTGTTGCCCTGGCTTCTTTCTTCACTCTCTGTCACACCATAAGCAGCTCTCCTCCATCATGCCATCCTGCCTTGGAGCCAAATGACTATGGACTGAAACGTGAGCTAAAATAAACCTCTCCTTCCTTCAACTGGGGTGTTGGGTGTTTTGCTCCAGCAATGAGAAAGTAACTAAGATATAAGGTTTCTGTTATAAGCAATTCTCACTGAGGACGCCCTCACTTATCCTGTTGTTCATATGCTTTAGGAGCTATTTGACCTACAAACCATTTCACTCAGAAGCAGCAAAGAACTTGGAAGTGGAAATGCAGAGGAAAAGAACTGTATTTAGAGTGTCATATTCCCTAAATCCTCTTGAGATTGAAGTCTTGAGTGAAGGTTATAACATTCATTCATTCATCAAATTTTCTTTACTTGCCTACTACTATGCTCTGAGAACTGAATTGGGTGCAGGAAACAAAATCCAAACTCTGACATTTTCTTCCTGAAAATTTTCTTTGTTGATATAGGCTGTTTATTTTTGTCATCTTAATCCCAGGCTCTTAAGAAGCTATGAATGGGAAGGGTTTCAGCTTGGTAAAACATACTGTAAAGCTACCTCTTCCTCTGGTTCTAAAAAGAAAACAAGCAGGCTGATTTCTAACCCAAAGCAGAAGTTTCTCCAGGTACCTTCATATGTATCATCCTCTAGGTCTGCCAGAGTCGGTGCATTAGGAAGTGAATACATAGAAGACTGATTGAGCTCAGTTAGTTTTGAGATGCTGTTAATCGCCATGTTGCCCAGTGGAATGATGTGCTCTGTGGGAATATCAAAAAGAAGAATGACATAAAATAACGGCCTAGTTACAATGCTCATCAAAAGGTTTCTCCCTCAATAACCCAAGTAGAGCTACTGTTTGGTCCCATTGCTGAGGCATCTGATGGAAGGTGGAAAGACAAGAGTCACTCACTACATGGCCCCAAACACCAGCTTTCCATGCAGAAAGAGAAGAGAAGGAGAAAGAGCAAGAGCAAGAGCAAGAGCAAGAGCAAGAGCAAGAGCAAGAGCAAGAGCAAGAGCAAGAGCAAAAGAGAAAAAGAAAAGGAAAAAGAAAAAGAAAAAGAAAAAGAGAAAGACCTAGGGGCCACAGATGATGAACAAAACCTACTGTATTATCCGGGTGCATTCGGAAAAAAACATAGAAGAGGTACTCAAGCTGGAAAGCCTGAATGTAGGAACCTTAATTTCAATGTAAATTATGTAATAAAAATATCACTCTTTTCCAATATTATGTAAAAACAATTACATTTCCTATAGGAGTACAGGTTTGTTTAGATAATAGGCCCTTTCTCTTCTTACAAACTTTCAAGACAAAATTTCTCTCCCTGTATTTATCATTTATCTTTGCTCAGTGGAAAGAACCTGACAGCCTTCTTGCCTCATTCTAGTCTTCTGTGATTCCAGTGTAAATAATGAACAGGGAGACTGCATGTTTTCCTCATCTGTTTTTTTTTTTTTTTTTTTTGGTTTTTGGTTTTTCTCCGGTACCGGGAACCGAACTCACGACCTTGCGCTTGCCAGGCAGGCGCTTTTTGCCGCTGAGCTAAATCCCCAGCGCCTCCTCATCTGTTAAAAAGGGTCCCTGTTATAAAGGATGCTGGACACAAGGTGGCACACAAAGATTTAGAAATATGACTTCTGAGAAAATGGGAATGGTTGAAGGCACAATGAAACAGGTGTTGTACAGAACATGGACTATCCAAGAAAAAATACCGCTACACACCAGAAGCTGCTTCTACTGACTAAAACTATTCAGTAAAGTATATGCATGGTAATGGGAATAGAAAGACTGGGACTGGGATAATTAAATTACCAAAGATACTGCAATCACGAAAAAGGCTCATTTATAAAATATTCATGAAAAATCTCTTCTCTGAGGCACATCTGGGGCTGACCTATCCCCATGATGTGGGCAACAGAGAGTCTAACAGTCTTGTCTCTGTCCCCTGTCTGTTGCTCCTGATTCTCAAGCCATGTCCATGCTCTGAAGGAGGGTATTGATGCTGGTGACAAATGGTTTCTAGGCCACTGGAGAAAAAGAGTCTAAGCTAGTTGCATAGCTAAGTTGCCCGCTATGCAACAGAAGTAAACTCCACCTTAAGGACAGCAATGGGGAGGTATGGGTGCTTGGTCTTTGGGATGTGGCTGGAGATGGAAGCAATACAGGCCAACAAAGGTGGGGCTGGCAAGTCTATGGCCGGAATGGGCTGGACTCCTATGGTTGACCAAGATTTGTTAGTTTATGAGCTTTTACAAAAGGCTTCGCCTCAATGTGTAGTGCTGCCTTTCATGTTGACATAGTATCTACAATCTGTGGCATGTCCAGAGTTGTCAGTTCCTACATCCGCAGTGCAAATGTCTTGGCTTAGGAACACTGAAGGCTAAAATCATAGCCTGTAAACTGAAGTGGTTGGTGACTTAGGTTGAAGCGATATAAGGATAGCAGGAAAGGCTGTGGTTTGAAGGTTAGAGCCCTGAAGTCTTCACCATGATAAGAACAGGGAAGCAGCCTGTATGACATGGGAAGCTCTCTCTGGGAACACTGGAGGCTGGTGTTGTAGCTGACCCTGAGAAGACTAGTCTGCAGGGGGAGTACCCAGCAACTTTATGTTTGAGTTGGTTGGGTTCCTTGTGCAGCGATTAATGTCTTCCTCCACCAGACTGCAACAAGAAGCCTCTAAACTAAGTTTCCTGGTCAGAACCAGCTAGACACTAGAAGAGAGCGGTGGTAGGTGAAGCACTAACAGTACTGGTTAGCTTTGGAAGAAAATTAAAACTTTTGGATGTGGCATTTGATACGTACCCATAAAAACCGTCCAGATTCACAGACTTTGAAGTTGTAAGACCCTCAGTCATCCCATCCAAACTGTCCATCAGTGGAATGCTCCCCAACAGCAAGGGAACCAACTCACCATCTAGCTTCACACTCCAGGTCATGTGGAAGCCATTGGTCATCAGGTAAAAGTTCTTTATATCCTCAGGCATCATACAGTTATTTTTCTAGAATTACAAAGCAGTGGAGTGTGTTAGATGAGGACTGGGCAAAAGGGAATAGGGCTATACCTCAAAGCATGGGGGACGCTACTACCATCGTTCAGATTCCTGAAATATAGCGACTGATAATTACCTATAAAACTTCATTAGACAGGTGCTGAGGTCTACAAGCAGAGTCACCAGTTTGACTTTTTTTTTTGCCTCACCAGATAAAGCAGACTAGTTATCTGCTCTGCCATGATATGTCCTGGTGGCTAGCTGTAAAATGAGCTCAGAGAGAACAAGCTGAGGAGGAAATAAGAGAATGTGATGAGAGACAAGGTTTGACAATGTTAAAGCAAAATAGTCATTGCCATTAATTTCAGATCCACATGAATATATTGTTTATTGAAATAAATTACTGGACAAATGATGACAATCTAAAAGTGAAGAATATTTACTTCCGAAGCACTCAAAGCAACAACCCTATTCTAATATTTTTGACATTTCTTAGAAAGTTGTGGTTACACACAAATATTTTGTATGGATAAGAGATCATCTCAACTGGTGCTGCAGAGAACAAAGGAACAGCTCAGTATCCTTTTAGGAAGCACAAGGAGCAAACCTTAGATACTAAATAATTCCCATCTGTGCACAGGCCTGACCCGTCTTCTCCAGCCAATTCAAAGCGCTGAGTATACAGAAAGATGGGTTGTCCAATTCCTTTCCTGGGTGCCCTCGAGTGTCTTCCTGATGTGATTGTAGAGGCAAAGGGGCAACAACTCTGTCCAAACTTGTATTGGTCCCTCCTACAATCTAGTGCTAACCACTGTGTATGTCAGGTTTGTTTTAAGTTGTCCTGTCACTGAGTCTGAAGTACCCAGTGCGTGGGCAAATATTATGTAGCAAGACAATCTGAGTTCACCTCCCAGTTCTGTCACTAGCTGAGTGACCCTGAATATGTGACTTACATTCTGTGGGTCCAGGTTCAAGAATAAATTCTAAGATGGAATCTACAAAACACTAGAGGTGGGAATTATTTAAGCTTGACAGGGAAAGAGAGGACTAGAAAGTTATTATTGGAGGTCATAAGATTTTCAAGTTCTATAGGTGAGAAGAAAGCATTGAGCCGGCAGGTGGTTTTAAGCAGTGTTTTAGATTATTTAATGGACAAGAGCTGTTGTCTTAATGAATCAAGTTTTTAATGTTCTTTAAGAACTACAATACAATTCTCATTAGTTTTTATTTTTTCTCTTGTTACCACCTAGTTACCAGTTTCAAAGATATGAAATGTAAAGCACTGGATTCTCAGATTCCTTAGGCTAATTTATTTTCTTCTCAGTAAATTACAGTACTATGTTTGGAATTTAGAGCTTGCTCCTGTATGTTCTATTCTCTGTGGTTCCAGAGAGAAAAACTGCATACAGAATGCCTCTCTCTACACCCAGGAACCAATGCACAAGAAATCTACAGTTAACAGCGTTCTGACAAGATTCTTTTGTGTTTGTAGCTCCCAAAAGCCACTCAAAGATGCTGATCACTAGTGCCATCTTGTGGTGCACACAAGGAAAATACTGTCTATCAGTCTGGATATTTTTTTCTTTGTTGGTACTGAGGATTGAACTTTGCACTAAGCTATATCCCCACCCCCTTTTGAGACAGGACTTTGCTAAATTGCTTGGGCTCGGGTTGAACTTACAATGCTCACTGAGATTACAGATATGTGCTATCACACCCACTTATTCTTAATGGGGATTCAAAGAAATTCCAGCAGAGAAGGGCTGGTAGATTGCTTGGCATTGTTTTTAGTTAGGCTAAGAATTCCAGTAGTAGTAATATTTTCTGTTATGATATTTTACCCAAGAAATAAGTTTTAGTATTTTATACTAGTGTTTTAAAAAAATTCAAAATTAATAAACATATAAAAAGTCAGTGAAATTATGTAATACATTTCAAACAGTAATATAAATTGTCAGGCAAACAAATTCATGAAAAATATTAAGTCTACATTGTTTTAAAATAAATGGGTGGTAGGCCCTGTCCTTACTGCTTTTCTGCTAAATGTTTAACTTTTCCAGGTGGGTCTTTCATGGTACCACATCTACGAGCTCCTTTACCCTGGCCACAGACCCAGTTACTACCATTTTAATTTCTCTTTGTTCCCCAGGAGCAATCTAGCCATGTTAAGGGCTTCTCTCCAAACCACAGTCTTAGTCTTTCCTTCTTTTGGAGGGGCAGATGGAAAGGGAGAAGGAAGAAGACTGGAAGAAAGTAAATGGAAGAGGCACCATGATTGGAGGGACGATTTGGGAAGGTCAAGAAGATATATCAGCGATGGTCAGTGTTTGAAGTAATGAATGACTACACCTACAACCTATTGCTACCTCTAGATGTTGTCTAATGATGATTCTGTCACATGGTCCCCATTTTCAATATTTTTTTCTCCTCCCAAGGAGGCTAACTACAGTAGTTTCTTTAAGCCACTCTATAGAGTCTGACACAAACCTTGTTATTACTTCATTAGTTTTGGGAGCTATCAACTTGATTCCTAGAAAACCTTCATGGCAACTGGCTGATCCTCCAAGAAAGACCTGCCCATTGCCTCCTGCTCACTTTCTCTACTTCTGGACAATTCTATATGCTACTGTTCCCTCCACTTTTAGAGGCCACTTTGTCTTGGAATGGAGTGGAGTAACAGATGCAGGATGAAGTCACAAAGGTGTCAGAGGAGGGAAATTAATGTTTCCATAGATACCTGTCCTTTCGGAGCAGGTCATTTGTGTATCTATTTGCAACAACAGCCAGAGAAGGGTTGCCCATGAAACCAACCAAGGAGGAGCACTGAACATTCCTGGAAATGTGAAGCAGTAAGAAAGCACATCTACTTAAATTCTTCTTGGAGAGGGCAGTCCATGGAACTGGAAGAAAACCAGGGCTGTGAAGGTATAGTGTGAGATCCCAAGGAGAATCCTCGAAGTCCCTCCAGTGATGCGGGGGGTGGGGCACTAGTTTACTGAACCTTTTATAAGAGTTCTGGGCCAGAGCTGAACTGTTTAATGTTTAGAGAAGCAGTAGCATAGTTTGCCCAAAATCCTTTCTCCATATAACCATCAGGCTCCCTCTAAAACTCCATGATGAAGAAATTTAAAAATTTTGCCCCGATGTGAGGGCACCATATGTTTTGGTGAGGGAGCACTGTGTATGTGACAAAACTCAGCCAAAAACAACCTTCAGAACAGTAAGGTCCTCATCTAGCCAACAAGATGTACATGTGAGGTGACTCCTGGGGGAAGCCTTTGTATTTGTATCCTCCTTGCTTTAGAGCGTCTGGACGTGGGAGCCTCAGTTTTAGGACTGAAATGCAGGAGTGCCTATGGAAAAACAAGTGATCCTGGGATAATTCTATATTCTCTCTGACTTGTCTTTTATCTAATTCATCCCGCCAACATTTATTAAAAGTCTGTTTTGGAATAAATTCTGTTCTAGATACTAGAAACACACAGAGGAGTGAGGCAAGGTGCACAGGAGACTGTGTCACACATGGTTTGCTTATGCAATTCTGCCTTTCTCTTCCTGCTTGGCAAAACCTTCATTTTGCTTGAGATGGCAATAGGTCTCGCTTTTAAGACCTCAGTCCTCAATTAGTGCTGAACACCAAGTTGTAAATACAAGTTCACTGAGGAGGTTTTCAAGAAAATTTCTGTTTTCATGTTAAAAGGCAACAAATAAAGCTAGGGACATCCCTTACTTTTTCTTCCTGTCTTGTGTTTGGAGTCAACCGGCCACCATGAAGGAAAATGACAAAACCACAGAAATAATGGTTTAACATTATCAGAGCTGATGAATCAACTCCAATTGTCTACCTCAAGATTTGTTACAAGAGAAATATTAATTCCTATTTGTTTAAGCTATTGTTAATTTAATATTATACTTCCTTGAGCCAAATTTATTCCTAATTTATATAGAGACAAATGTGTAAGAGATAAGTATAGTGAAGCTAGAAGGGCCAAAGAGAATTAGGAAGAAGAATCTGAAGAGGGCGGTGCTTTAGAATCCAAGGGAAAAGATTTATGAGTAGGCAAGATAGCTCAGTAAGGTACCTGGCACACTTTCTTCCACAACAAACAACAAGAACAAAACAGCTATGAGGTGTGACCACAAAGTAAAGTGAATGTTTAAATTAAATTTTATCATAGTGAAAGATACACTGCTATTAATTTCTCTCAAAATACTCATTCTTTCCATTGCTCTGAACAGTTTCCCATCATTCTTACCACTTTCTGAAATAGTTCTGGAAATGGTAGCTGTGCTGTCATGGTTGCCCTGATGTTCTAAAACAATTCAAATCATTTACCTTTCATTGTCATTTTTTTTGAACCAGAAATCGAACTCAGGATCTTGTGGCTTGCCAGACAGGTGCCATGCTGCTGAGCTATATCCCTGGCCCCTCCACTGTCATTCTGACTTTGGGGAAGAGCCAGAAGTTACATGCTGTCAGCTCTGGTGAATAAAGGGGATGAGAACACACTGTCATGTTTTTATGAAGCTACTTTTCTATTGGATGCCATTCAATAGCAGCATTTACTATATTTTTATCATACTTTGTAAAACACTCACAAAAGAGGACCTTCATAACTGCTTCTGAAAATGGCTAGAATAATGGGAAAGTGTTTAAAGTGAGGAGGAATATTTTGAAGTGAATGAATGACAATTTGTATAATTTTTTTAAAAACACCATTTTTGTTGATCAGCCCTTATACTTCCCTGCCGTATTTGAGACACAGTGCTGGAGTCTAGTGCAGGTGTGGCAGAGACATACAGAACACAAGGATACACCACAGCCTTATCACTTTTTTCTTCTTTTTTTGAGACAGGATCTAGCTGTATAGTTCAGGCTGGCCTTGAACTCACTATGTAGCCCAGCTTGGCCTTGAACTTGCTACAATCCTGCCTTACCCTCCTGAGTGCTGGAATTACAGGTGTGCACCACCACACTTGGCTCATCACAGCCTTACAAAGAAGAGAAATAAATATACAATATTTCCATTCTGTCTCTCTAGATCAGTCCTGAATGTAGAGGGACTTTACTAGAGGGGGGAAAAAGTAATAACCAGGAGACTCCTGCCTATTATCATGTCACAGATACTTGAGGCATTTGTTGCTGAAGAATCCTAAGTCCCTGACAGGTCCCAAGCCCGATTTAGAGAGCTGTCAGGTTACCACACTGCTTCATTGCTCTTGCTCCATAGAAAGAGCCCAGCCCACACTGTGCCCTCCCTCCATCAGGCTCCTACCGTACAGAAACATCTTGAGACCTTTCCCACACTGGGTCCCGTGAAGCAGCTGCCCTCTGTAGCTTAGCTGACCTTGTCCTGAGAGTCAGTCAGGTGGCCCTGTGTCCAGAGAACAGTGGCAGCCAACCCTAAGTAGTTCAGTCTACAGAGGCCATAGGAAGCAGATAGGTAGCTCTCTTTCATGAGTGGCCTGGCTCACTGACATCCTCCATAGGAAGCTGCTGAGAGGCTCTGTCTATCCTGCAGCTGCAAGAAACAACTATGCAGCCTGACCTTGGAAGCTTGGCCCAGTGAGAACCTGAGAAACAGAAGGGCTTGCCAACCCACTTTTGGTCCTGAGAAGCAGCTGAGAAGCTTACCTGGAATAGGTTAGCCCCCAGAGCACCCAGAAAGTTACCTGTGTAGCTCTTAAACACTGACAGTTTCTTGGTCTGGGTCTCAGGGTAGGCCCTGGTCCCCATGCAGGCCTGAAATACTAGTCCCTGCCCCACTATTGGACATAGCATGCTATAACTACTGGGGTAGCCCCGTTCCCCCATAACCTGAGAAACTGATACATGTTGCATATCTGCACTGTGCCAGCAGCTACTAGTGATCTATGCCACCTAAGTGTGATCCCACAACTGAAGCTGAGGTTACTGAGGCAGCTACAAGCCAACTTTGATTACTATTGAAGAAGCAACATGGATACTGCACTTTGGAACCAAAATCAAGGTGGCATAACCAGTACCTTAGGACACAACACAAGCAAAAACTCTTGAATGATGAGAGGTACTCTAAAAAAAAAAAAAAGAAAAAAAAAACTGAGAGAAGCAACTGACTTAGCAGATGCATTCAATCAACATAAGGACACAAACATGAAAAAACAAGGTAACATGATGCCTCCAAAGGAACAAAATGCTCCAGCAACAAATTACAAAGAAAAAGAAATAACTGAAATAACTGAATTGCCTAATAAAGAATTCAGAAGAATAACTTTTAATGAAATTTAATTAGATACCAGAGAATACTCACAATTCAGGGAAGTTAGGAAGACAATTCATGACATGAATGAAAAATTCAGCAAAGAGAGGAAGAACCAAACAGAAAGTCTAGCACTAAAGAACTCAGTAAATGAAATTTAAAAAATATAGTGGAGAGCCTCAATAACATAACACAGTAGGCAGAAAAAAGAACTTCCGAACTTGAAGACAGGTTTTTAAAGTGACGCAGTCAAAGAAACAAACCAAATTAAAAAGAGTGAAGAAACCTTTGAAACTTGTAAGACACTATTAAGAATGCAAACTTTTTTGTTCTACAAAGAGAGGAAATGGGAAAAGGCACAGAAAATCTATTTAACGAAACAAGTGTTAAAAATGTTTCAAATCTTTGAAAAGATACCAATATCCATATCCAGAAAGCTCAAAGGAGCTATTATAGTAAAGTCCCCCTAAAAAATCTTCTCTAGTACTTATTATAATCAAACTGTCAAAAATATAAGGAAAAAACAACTGTAAAAACATCAAGAGAGAAGTGTCAAGTGACATAAAAAGGAGACTTCTCCATAGAAGCATTACAGGTAAAGAGAGAAAGTGATGATAACAGTAGACTTTTCCTAACAGTAGACTTCTCCACAGAAGCATTACAGGTAAAGAGAGATGATGATGACATATACAAAGTCTTGAAAAAAGAAAATTGCCAACCAAGAATAATTTTCCCTTTTTTTAAAAGGACAAAAAACAATCTTCCCAAGATAAGTAAACCAGAAAGAGTTTATCACCACTAGACCACCCCTACAAGAACTGTTTAAAAAAGTGCTACACTAGAAGTGAAAACATGTAAGACTACAAAAAGTCAACAGTAGAGCAGATATACAAAAAACAAGAGAACAAAATTCAATAAGTATAAAACCCCACCAAATCCTAAATATCAATGAGGATGAAAAAAAAATCTATAAAACAACCAAAAAAATTAACAAAATGATAGACTACTTCTTATCAAAAATGACTTTGAATGCAAAAGGATTACATATCCCAACTGAAAGATATATATTAAATTGATAAGAAAAGCAAAACCCAATGATATGCTGCCTACAAGAAACTCATTTCTCCAGCAAAGACACACACAGTCTAAAAATGGGATGGAAAAAGATTTGGCCCTTAAGTGTGCCTCAAAGGTCCACATGTTAAAAGCTTAGTTCAAAGCTTAGTATTATAGCCCATAGTGACAAAATATAGGTCATTGAGGGTACACCCCTGAAAAGGATATTGGGAACCCAGCTCCTCTTCTTTCATTCTTTGCTTCTCAACTGCCATAAGGTGAGCTACACTGTTTCTTTCTGCCACACACATCAGACAAGTCATACTACCTCACCACAGGCCCAAAAGCCAAGAATCAAGATGCCACGGACTGAAGCTTCCAAAACTGTGAGCCAAGATAAATCTTTGCTTATTTGAAGTTGATTTCTCTTACATATTTATTAGCAATAATGGAAAGCTGACTACCACACCATGCAAATAGAAACCAAAAGCAAAAGTGGCTATACCATGTTAGATAGATAGACTTTAAGTCAAAAACTAACAAAATAGATAAAGGTCATTATATAATGAAAAAAGGATCAATGCAACAAGAGAAAATAATAATTATAAATGTATATGCATCAAATGCTACAGCAACCAGTTCTTTAAAGTAAACTCTTAATAGAAAAGGAGGCAAAGGCTCTAAAACACCAGTAGCTAGGGACTTCAATATCCTATCTTCATCAACGGACAATTTATATATTGACACAGACAAAGACATAGACACAGAAATAGACACAGACACACACAGAAACATACACACACACACAAACTGTGGGGAGCAGCTGAAGCTGGAGATTGGTCACATGTATGGGGCTAAAGCAAAGCCAGTTCAGGAACATGCAGCACCTGAGGCAAGCCACGTAAACAAGCTGTTCCTGCTTGGAGACTGAAAGGTGCCCCGAGGTGAACAAGCAATCAACTTGCTAAGCAGAGGGGAGGTTTCAATTGAAAATAGCCTCCTGAGTGTATAAATAAATGCAATGCAGTCATTGGGAAGTTTTTTTTCTCCCATTGGGAGAGAGGGTTCCACCTGACCTCAACTTTTTGTTTTCTGACTCTTGTCTTCATTTCTTCATCCTCCACTGTCTGCCTCTGGGAAGTTAAAAGAGCTGTGCTGGATGTGGAATGCGCTCTCTCTCTCTCTCTCTCTCTCTCTCTCTCTCTCTCTCTCTCTCTCTCTCGCGCGCGCGCGCGCACACACGCACACACACACACACTCACACAAAACCAACAAAGAAACATCAGATTTAAACTGCACTTCAGACCAAATAAACCTAAAAAGATATTTGGGAACCAATTCAACCAATAGCAGCAGAATTCACATTCTTCTTAGTAGAAAGTGGAACATTCTACAGGCTAGACCATATGTTAGGCCACAAAACAAGTTTCAATAGAGTCAAAGAGAATGAAACCACAGCATATATATTCTCTGACCACAATGAAATAAAACTACAAACCAACAAAAAAGAACTTTAGAAATTATACAAATACATGAGTTAAACAACATTCCCTTAAACAAAGGGTCAGTAAACAAATCAAAAGGAAAATTTAAAAATTTCAGGAAACAACTGAAAATGAAAAACAACATAACAAACCTATTACAACAAAAGCAGTAACAGAGAAGTTTACACTAATAAGTGCCTTCATAAAAAAATAGATTACAAAGAAATACACTAAACCCAAAATTACCAGAAGGCAAATAATAACGAAGATCAGAACAGAAGCAAAAGAGTAAAAAAATAATACAGAAGATCAATGAAACAAAGAGTTGGTGTTTTGAAAAGAAAACTGACAATACTGCAGCTAGATTAACCAAGAAAAAGAGAGAAGACTCAAGTAAAATCAGTAATGAAAAATGAGACATGGTCATTTAGACCTATTATGCATAACTAAACGCCAGCAAATTGGAAAACATAAAGGAAATGGATACATTTCTAGGCATTTATAAGCAAACAAAATAGACTCAAGGGCACATAAAAAACCTGAGCAGACCCATAACAAGCAATGACACTGAAAAGCCTAGGACTAGGAGTCTTCATGGTAGAATTTTACCAAAGCTTTAAGGAAAAACTAACCAAGTCTTCTCAAACTATTCCAAACTACTGAAATGGAGCAAACTGCTCCAAACTCATCCTACAAAGCCAGGATTACCCTTATACTAAAACTAGACAAGGACACAACAAAAATGAAAACAACCAATCAATATCTCTGATGAACATATGCTAAAATTCTCAAAAATATTAATAAATCTAATACAACAGCACATCAAAAAGATTATGATCATATGGTATTTACACAAGGAATGCAGGCTGCTTCAACACATACAAATCAATAAATACAGTACATTACATCAACAGAATGAAGAACAAAAGCCTTATGATCATCTCAATGCAGAAAAACATCTGATTAAATTCATTCTCCCTTCATGACAAAAACCCTCAAAAAATTAGGTACCTTAGCAATTTACCTCTTCACACTGAACAGGAAAAAATTAAAATATTTAAGATCAAGAACAAGATAAGAATGTCTACTTCCATCATTTGTATTCTATAAAGTATTAGGAGTCTTAGCTAGAACAAGAAGGTGAAAGAAAGAAAGAAAGAAAGAAAGAAAGAAAGAGAAAAGAAAAGGAAGAGAGAACCCAAATAGGAAAGAAGGAGGTCAAATTAATTCTGCAAATGAAAGGATTTTATATACTAAAAAACCTAATGACTCGCTGGGCATGGTGGCTGGCGCACGCCTGTTATTGTAGCACCTGGGAGGCTAAGGCAGGAGGATCTTCATGAGCTCAAGACCAGCCTGGGCTACAAAGTGAGCTCAAGGCCAGCCTGAACTGCATAGAGAGACCCTGCCTCGAAAAGACAAAAAAAACCTCAAAAACCTAATGACTCCACCAAAAGAGTTGGAATTTATAAACAAATTCAGTAAGTTGCAGTATATGAAATCAACATACCATAATCAGATTTTTTATACACCAATGAGATTGCTGAGAAACAAATCAAGAAACAATTCCATTCACAGAAGCTACAAAAATATTTAATGAATTTGATCAAGGAAATGTTCTTGACAATGAAAATCAGAAAATACTGACAAAAGAACCAGAAAACAAACACAAAATGGAAAGTTTGTGTACATGCACTGGAAGAATTACCATTGTTAAGATACTCATACTACCCAAAGCAATCTACACATTCAACATAATTCCCATCAAAATATCAATGACCTTGCTTACAGAAATTTTTAAAAATCCCAAAATGTGAATGGAACCACATAAGACTCCACTGCCCAACAGCCAAAATAATCTTTAGCAGGAAGAACAAAATTTGAAGCATTAAAATACACGTCTTCAAAGTATTAAACAAAACTATCATAACTCAAACACACTCTGGACTGGTATAAAATCAGACACAAAGAACAATGGCACAGAATTAAAAGCCCAGAATCAAATCCATTTATTTACCAGTTTTTCACAAAGATGGCAAGAACACACAATGGAGAAAAGACAATCTTCTTAATAAAAGGTGTTTGGAAAATTGGCTATGTACATGCCACAGAATCTGTATCCTTATATCTCATCATATTCAAAGATCAACACTCAAAGTATGAAACCAAGTAGGGCTCTATTGCGCATTCCTCTCATCCCAGCTACTCTAGAGGCTGAGACACAAAGATTGCAAATTTGAGGTCAACCTGGGCAACTTAACAAGGCTTTGTTTTAAGAAAAAAAAGTGCTAGGGATGTTGCTCAGAGATAGAGTGCCTTTTACTGTACTAAATTTTAAAGAACAACAAAAATTAACTATATTTTTTAATCACACCAAGTATGTCTGAGGATAATGTTCTTTTTACAGTCTTAGTTAAAAATCTTTCCCTCATTCCTGCTTTTTAATTCTTGCAGACCTCTGATGGTTACTCATCCAGCCACACAACTGCAGTCTTCTAAGTATCAACCTAAGCTGAAGAGAAACCCAAGACAGTTGCAGTGTTCAAGAGGCAGACCACATTGCAGTGACATACACTGCATACTCTAGCCCTGAAAGAAGCTATAGAAAGCAAGTTCTAAATGAATAGACTACAGTGTAGTAGGTAAAATAGAGACAAATGAGTAAAGTCTTGAGAGTTGTGGGAAATATACAGACCAAGACACAAAGAACAGTAAACCTCAAAAACTGCTTCAAGTGAGTGACATAATATATCACAGCCTTAACAGTGCTCCACCCTAGACAAGAATCCTGAAGGCAGTTTTCCTTAATGGGTTAGCTTAACCCTGTAAAGGATCAAGACAAATGTTTTCAATCATATCTTTTTCTCAATGTTATCTGTAACAAGGTCAACCATAGCAGCACCATGAAATGGCTCTGATAAGACTGGCGACTTTAAAAGAGTACAACATTGGTTGCTGTGTCTATTTTTATGCCAGAATCATGTATTTAATTATTATAGCTTTGTGACATACTTTGAAATCCTGTACTCTGATGTCTCCAGTTTTGTTCTTTTTAGTCAAGATTTATTTATTTGTCTATTCAGGTACCATATGACCTTTAGGATTGTTTTCTATTACTTCTATAAAAATCACATGGAAATTTTGAGAGACTGCACTGAATCTGTAAATTGTTTTGGATGGTATAGACATTTTAATAATGATGTAAAACAAGCCAGACACAGAGACAAACCCTCTGTGATCTCATTTATATCTATAAAAGTCGAGCTTATAGAATTAGAGTAGAATGATTACCAGAGGCTGGGGGAAAGGGGAGACCCTGGTTAATGCATTAGGAAGAGTAAGTTCTGGTGTTCTATTGAAGAGGATGATGATGAACCCAGTTAATAATAGTATGTATCTCAAAATAAAAGATTTTAAATGTCCTTGTCATAAAAAAGACACATATTTGAGGTGAAGAATATACTAATTAGCCTGGTATGATCATTCCCCAGTCAAATCCACTTGCATTCCTACAACCACAATGGTCTTCCCAAAGAGACAACTGACTTTCTTAGTTCCCTACTTAAAACTCCTGATGGTCTGGTCTTCTCTGACCTCTACCTTGTTCCTTCTTTACACTTTTGGAATAAAATAATCCTTTCTATTCTCAAAGCCTTTACACAGACTGAAACCCCTTTCATCTGCATCCCAACTGTCTAGTTAACAACCTTTTGCAGCTTCTTTGGGAAAACTTTTTCTCAACCTCCAGACTAGGTCAGGCCTCTGGACAGTTGTCCCTTTACCTCTTTCATAGTACTCAGTCTAATTTGTAATTATGCTTGTAACGATCTACTCTGTCTTAAGACAGTATGATCAAGTGGTAAGAAAAGAGATTTTTAAAAAATTACCAGTAAATACCCAGGGCTCAATATCAAGCACACTGCTTGGACTATTTTAGGAGATTGAAAGTTTTACTGAACAAATGAATGAAAGATCAGAGGAAAATTGGGATGCACTAGCAATGGATCTGATTAGTAGTTATCTGCACACTTAACCAAGCTCTGCCCAGCATGACGCTTACTAAAGCACATCTTTGCCTTTCCTTGCTCGATATTTATTTTTTGTTGCATATAACTTCAAATATTCACTGCCTCCATAGGTTTATCACTGCTTAGGCGAGATACTTCATACCGGGGAAATGGTATGGAATGAGTATGTTTCTGTTGCAAGTGTCTAGTCTAATGTGGTATGAGAGCTCACTTTGTAGAATTTACATTTCTTTGGATATGTTGGGGTTTGTTGTTATGTCCATCGTCTATTCTGAAGAAAAGAAAAAGAGTGGGAAAGTCTATGGAGATGGAGAGTGGCTTAGTGGCTGTCCAGATTTGGGGGGAGGGTTTAGGAGATGATGCTTAGTGGATACAGTGTTTTGATTTGAGATAACTAAAATACCCAAGTTTGACTGTGGTTATACTCGTACAAATCTGTTAATGTGCTGGAATCTGTTGAATTTTGTTTTACGTAAGTTTGTGGATTGTGTGGTATGCAGGTTTTTAATTCAATAAAGTTGATTTATTGTTTAAAAAGGAAATGGCATGGAATGGAAGGCAGCTGTGATCTGACATAGGAATAGGTTATCTGCCCTAATTTTTTCTTCTCAGGGGCACTGAGAGCCTTTGTAGGGAGAGGAAGGTTCCACATGACAATACTTACTTGTTCCCATGAAGAAATCATATGACGTTCAGCAGGGGCCTTTTCTATGATGGTTACCTCTGTAACACCTGGAGAGGATTCTAGAGTAAGAAAAAAAAATTCTGTAGAGTTGCAATCAGCTCACTAACACACAGTCTACACTACAGGTTGACTAAATGTTGCTAATGTGGCTAGGACTATCTGATCCTTCTGATGAACATTAAATCCCCTGTAATGAAAACAGAAAACTGGTTGGTCCCTGACAAGGCACTCAGTCCCATAATTTAAGACGATAAAGTCTACTTGGTAGAAAGAATACCAACAAAACATACAGTATATTACACTCAATCATTACTCAGTCACTTGTTAATTAAAGAGGATTCTAAATTCCTAGTGATTTCACACTGAACATTCAGTGGGCTAAATACACACACTTATTGTGGAAAGGAATAAGGAACAATACCTCATTAAGTTTTGTAAGACATAAAACTTTGCTTTTCTTGTAAATACAACTCATCCTGAACATAATTTTCTCGCTCTGTACAAGATTTAGAAACTAAGCTAACATTATGAAAAATGAATTTTGTCCAGAAATATTCCGAGCATAAAATAAATCATACTCCTACACCCTCAAAAGAGAAAAAGGTCTCCAAATTATCTGGTTCCTTCTCTTTGTGGAACTGTGATTTACCTACTACTCTGAGGTAAATAAAAAGCTACCTAGAAATATAAAAGATTCCAATACTTCATCCTACTTATCTATTCACCCATACTCAAGAGTTTGAAGTCCTGACCTAAAACATAAAATCTATCATGAAAGTTATTATGGCTTGAATTTTATCTTTCCTATGAATGTTATGTTGAAGTCCTAACCCCAAGACTTCAGAATATGATCTTGGTTGGAAATAGTTGTTGCAGATGTAATTAATTTAGATGATGTCATATGGGAGTAGGGCAGACTCCCAGTCCAATATGATTGGTGCCCTATTTGTACTAGAAAGAACACCATGTGAAGCAATACATAGATAGAAAATGGCACTGTGAAGAGAGAGGGTTGAACTAAAGCACCTTTAAGATAACATATGCCAAACATTGCTGGCAAACTACCAGGAAAAAGTAAAGGCAGGATCTATCTCCTGCAAGTTTCAGAATGAGCAAGGCTCTGCTGACACCTTGACTTTAGATTTTAGTACTCCAAAACTGTGAGAATTAATTTCTGTTGTTCTAAAGCACACCATGTGTGTTTTTATAGCAGCCCTATGAAACTCATGCAAAGCCTATACACCTTTTCTCTTTATGACTCTATGTGTAAATTATTCCCACTGTTACCACTCTAGTGTTACACTATGGTCACTGCAAGCCTTGAGGAAATTCCAGCCATGAAATTTCTCCCTGCTTTGATCCATCCTTAGCTCCTGCCTATACTTAGGCCTATTTTGTATCGAATATTGCTTAGATCTCCCTTTGCTCTGGAAGATTGAGGACTTACTGTATTTCTTCGTTTAATTTTCTTTCACAGTCCAAATCCTACGCTTCATTAATGTCAGTTTCCTCATTGCATCAATTCCTGCAACTTCTCAAAAACCAAATCTATACTCATATTCAGTTATGCTATACCCCCTTCCTGATACATATACCCATATGTGCCAATGTTTCTCTTCATCTACCCACATCCTACTCTTAATTAAGGCTAGCTTCAAATTCTACCTCCTCCATGGAACCATTTCTCTTGACTCCAGTTCATACTGACGTCTGATTTTCCTGATACATCATCCAATCTCAGGCAGGGTCTGTGCTACATATGTTTGTACTTAACTATATTCTATTTTGAGCTGTATCTTGGGTATTTACCATAAGGCCTAGCTAACTGTAGATAAAATTTATTAATTTTTAAAAATCTCTGGAAGTATGTCAGACTTCTAGTTTTACGTGGTTCATTGATTCTGTAATTGTGCAGTACCCACCCTTTCTACACAACTGAAGTTTCCTCTAAGTTATTAGAACACTCACATCTTGGGGTTTAGCAATAGAGCAACTAAGAATTCTTGACTCCAGCTGATCTTGGTAGATGTATGACCTATGACCTGAGATGAATCTTCACTTGTCTTTGCCTTCAGTAGGACAGAATACTAGTACTTCCCTTGGTAGGAGAAGCAGAAGTAAAAGTGCTTTGAAAAAATGAAAGTGCCACATAAGTACACATACACACACAATTTCTTTTTTTTTTTTTTTTGCCTTCTGTTCAATACCCTTTGTAAGACATGGGAAGTAAAGTGCTGTTGTGAAAAAACACTTCAAGCTTCAAAACATTAGATCTGAATGAATCTTTGTTATGTCCCTGATTAGGGTAGGATGGAATATGCTATGTGTTCCCCTTCACGGGTGGTTCCACTTGACACTGTTCCACTAAAGCCAACATAGGGAATAACTGGGTAATAAGATTTATGTATGTCTGTATATATGTACTTCTGAGGCTTTAACCCAGGGCCTTGTACATGCCACAGAAGCGCTCTACCATTGAGCTACACTTCCAGCCCTTAATAAATGTTACTGATAAGAACGCTGAGGCTAAAAGGTTAAGCCAGAAAACCAATTCTCTGACACTCATGTACAGGTTTAACTGACAAGGGGTTATGTGCAAATGTTGCCGTGTGTTCCTTGGCTCAGCTCTTTAGATGTTATTCTATGGAAATGTAGTCTAGCTTTGATCAGTCTTAGCAACTTACTACTTCACATGCACTAGTATACAATACAGAATTTTTGCCAATGACCCAGCTGCTTACATATTGATACTGTCTGGCTATACCCTAGGGTACTCTAGTATATAAAGTTGCAAGAGGACACACCTAATTATTCACTCTTTCTGGTAGTTTATTCCAAACTTGGGTGCTGTCAATTCCTTCCTTCCCCACATGCCTAGTCCACTTCTCCACTGGGAGGTGAAGTCTATTACTCCACCTCCTTTAACTGGAAGTTGGCTTCAAATTCCTCTGACCAATAAAATATGGTAAACATATGCTTTATGTTTTGGACTTAAACTTCTATAGGACTAGCAACTTCCCTTTTCCTTTGAGTCCCAAGGCATTATATAATAAATCAAAGCTAGTCTTCTGTGAGAGGCCATGATAAGGAGCACTGAGGGAGCCAAACATGTGACTACAGAGGCCATCACATAATTCTAGTCCCAGCTGCTATTCAACTGCAAATAGTTGAGACCCAAAACGAGCAGGACCCCAGCTAAACCCAGTCAATCCACAAAAGTAGGAGAGTGAGTCTCACTGTTTCAAACTACATCTTGGGGTGGTTACCCAGTAATAGATAATCAGGACGTACTATAGGTCAAAAGTCTGAGTCAGCAACATGTACACTTAAAAGGATTTGATGTGTCCTCAGCTTGGGGAAATTACTGCCAAATATTAAAAATTTTAGTAGAAGACACTGTCTCAAGAAATTTACTGCTAAACAAGAAAACATGTAAAAACATGAAAGCTTCAGATAATATAATCATGTGTTAAATTGGGTGATACTGATCACAAGGACCACAGTGTTTTAGAACCTACCCTCAAAAAAATTTGGAGAAAAGAATAAGCAGGTGAGGTAGAGCGTAGATAGACTGGCTCCTCTTACAAGCATAATTGCAAAGGTGTTTTGACCTCACAGGGTTGGATATTGCAGTGGTAGCAGTAGTAATTTTCTAATCCCCTAGCTTCTTTTTTACATTAAGCTGCAGGTACTGCCTACTTAACATCTCTTTTATGCACTAAAGTTCTCATTATACAGTTTGCTTTCCTTGGCTCTCCCAGTGATTTCGTAGGCTAATGGCCCTTAATGAATCCCTTTCTGCCTTACCTAGCTAAAGTAAATTTCTCACCTTAAAGTACATTCTATGTCTTGCAAAAAAGAATGCTGACAGATACAAGTAGTTTGGGTTTGTGGGCTCAGAAAAGGTGACTTGGTAAAACAGGAGAGGTCAGAGGAAATTGTCATTTACATAATTTAAGAAGTGTGGCCACACAGCCAGACAAAAATATGAGAGGCTTTGGGATGAAAGCTGTAACATTACATGTTTTCGTGAGTCAGAGGAGCAAATATAACTTAAGATATCTTTGTGGCTAGGTAAAACTACTCAAAGGGGAGAATATTAGTTCTCCATTGCTGAGCAATTAACACAAATTAGAGCTTCAAACACCTTTTCAGCAGGTCAGTTGTGGAGCTCAAAACTCTGGCACAGCATGACTGGTTCCATTCAGGTTGTAGTCAGTGATCTATCAGCTTCACACACTGCTCTCTTTCAGCTGTTCTCTTTTCATTGGGAGCTTGAGGTCATCTTGAAAGCCGATTCCTGTTTTGGGCAGATTTTAATTGTTGGGGTTGCAGGACTGCAGTCTCTAGTTTCTTACTTGCTGTCAGTTGGGGCCACTCTGAGCTTAAAGAGACCACTTGCACAATCATATTTTGGTGCTCAACTGCTTTGAAACTTATCAAGTTTGATACCTGACAAATTTTGATGTGATATTTTTCTCCTAGTATTTGTTGTTTGGTACTATACTTGAAAGCTAGAACTTGGCAGTGTTGATTGCCTTGTAATCAGCTACCCTCTCCAGCTAAAAAACCTTTTTGGTACTTGTTGCATCTAGAACCAATTACAGCAAGTACCAAGACACCACTATATTCCCTGTCTTGTGAAACCACTCATCTTCAGATAAGCAACAGCATAAAAAATCCTTTTCATGCTTCCAATCTCTTTAATGTCATTTCCTCTTAACAGCATGTTTTAATATGTTTGTGAACTTGTGCTAACCTGTATAATATCCCTTTTGCCATTTAACATATCAAAGGTAAAATATTACATTAAGTTCACAATCCTGGGGTTTAGAGCAAGAATTCTCATAGAGTTGTTTTGAGAATTATTTTTAAAGTTTTAGTGAGACATAATTTACATACCATAAAGTTTACCCTTTTATTAAAGTGTACAAATCAGTGGTATTTAATGTATTCTTTTGTGTATTGTTACCCCCCAAAAGAAACCGTATTCCTATTAGCAGTCACTGCCCACATTCCGCTCTCACCAGACTCTGGCAATGATTCATCTACACGTGGTATCTATATATTTGCCTATTCTGGGCATTTTATATTGATGGGATCATACATATGGACATACAGTTTTGCAACTGTCTTCACTCTGTTTTCAAATTTCATCCATGTTATAGCACTGTCAATAACCTTTCCTTTTTATGTCTGAGTAATTTTATATTGTATGAATGTATATTTTGCATAGCCATTCATCAGGTGATGAACATCTGCATTATTTCCACATTTCAGCATAATAAATATGGCTAAGAATATTTGTGTACAAGTGTTTGTGTGTATATGTTTTCAATTCTGTAGAAGTGGAATTGGTGAGTCACATGGTAACTGTTTAACCTTTTGAGGACTTACCAAACTCTTTTCTCAAAGTTGCTGAGCCATTTTATGTTTCCACTAGCATTCTATGATTGGTTCCAATTTCTCTACATCCCTGCCAACATTTATCATGTCTTTTAAAGTCACTCTAGTGGGTTTTAAGTGGTATCTTATGAAGATTTTCATCTGTATTTCCCCAATAACTTATGAAAACAATCACATTTATGTGTTTATTTGTCTTTGTATATCTTCATTGGAGAAAGATCAACTCAGATCCTTCTCAACTGCATTTATCCTTTATTGCTGAATTGTAAGAATTCGTTATAGATTCCATGCATGAGTCACTTTTCATAGATGATTTACAAATACTCTCTCCTATTTTGATTATATTTCTTGACGGTATCTTTAACAGCATGTTTAATTTTCCGGAACTATGACTTATTCTTTTGCTGTTTGTGCTTTTAGTGGCATATCTAAGAATCTACTGCCTAATCTAAGATCACTTAAAAAGTAATTTAAGGTTCATATTTTCTTCTAAGAGTTTTGTATTACATTTAGGTCTAATATTTAGAGTTAATTTAGATATATGATTTGAGGTTAAGGATCCAATTTCCTTCTTCTATATGTGGCTATCCAGTTGTCACTGCACTATCTGTTGAAAAATTATTTTTTGGCATTAAGTAGTCTGGATATTCTTATTAAAAATTAGTGAATTTTTAAGTGAAAATTTTTGGCATTTCAAGTCTATTCCACTGATCTACGTTTCTGCTGTTATGCCACTGACACTGTAAAGACTACTGTAGCTCTCAGGTAAATTATTTTTACTGTGGCAAATACACAACATAAAACTTACCATTTTGACCATTTTCAAGTGTACAGTTCAGTGGCATCAAGAATTCAGTGTTGTGTAACCTTTTCCACTATTCAACTCCTGAACTTTTCCAACCATCCAAATGCAGTAAATTTTAAAGAGGGAAGGTATGAGTGAGAGGAACTGTCCTCTTTTTTCATGATTGTTTTGGCTATTTAAGCACTCTCACACTTTCATGTTAATTTTAGAATTATTTATGCAAAAGAGACAGTTGAGATTCTAGTACTATTTGTAATTCCTAGATTTGTAGGTCAGTTTGAGCAACAGTCTCGGATTTTAATGATGTTAACTCTTCATATAAATAAGCATAGGATGGCTTCTCATTTATTTTGATCTGTATTTTAACAGCTTGATGTGGTGGCACATGCCTGTAATCCCTGTCCTTGGGAGGTTGAGGCAGGAGGATCACCTCGAGTTTGAGGTAGCCTTGGCTACATAATGAGTTCAAGGCCAGCCTGAACCATATAGTGAGACCCTGTCTCAAAAAACAAAACAATCATACTTAGTTATTTCTATTTTATTCCTTTAGATACTGTTTTATCTGGACTTGTTTTCTTATCATTGTTAATGTTTACATTTTTTCCCTCCTTTCAATTCCTTTAACATACAAAAGCATATCATTTGTAAGTAGAGATTATCTTTCTTTTACGTTTTCCAATTCATATGTCTTTATTTTACTTTTATAACTGCCCTGGGTAGAACCTCTGATATAGTGTTGAATAGAAGCGATAACAATGAATTCTCTTTAGGGGGGCAGTGGCTAGCAGCCATTCAATTATTATTATTATTTTTTTTCTTATTAGTATGTTTGCAGTATATAATGATTATATTCCTTGTGGGGAGTTGGTAATTGTACAGAACACATCTCAATTCTGTTTTTACTCCCTGCCCCTCACACTTCATCCCATTTGAGAAAGATCGATCTACTACTTTCCCTCTGTGTGTGTATATATATATTTTGTTGTTGTTGTTGTTGTTGTTTTTGTTTTTTGAGACAGGGTCTCACTATGTAGTTCAGGTTGGCCTTGAACTCACAATGATTCTCCTGCCTCTGCCTCCTGAGAGCTGGGATGTGCCACCACACCTGGCACATATTATCTACTTTTTTATTTTGCTCTTTATTTTGCTCTTATTTTGCTCTTTATTGTGCTCTTTATTTATATTTTATATTTTAGGTTTCTCATATAAGAGAAATAGTGCAATATTTAAGCTTGTGTATGTCTGATTTATTTCACTTAAATTATGGTCACAAGGTACATACACTTTAATGACATTCTTTTTATGGCAGTGTATATATACATTTTCTTTATCCATTCATCTGTTGATGGATAGGCTGCTTCCAAGATTTAGCACTGTTATGAATTTTGCTGCTTTAAGATGAGAATGCATGTATCACCGAAACAGTGAATTCTTATGCAGAAAAATCAAACATAGTAAGCCTGAGACTGCAATCCTTCAACAACTTGTAAGGTCGGCCCTTGGTCGGCATCTAGAAAGCTGGCTCTCTGGAAGAACCCCATCATTCTCTGATAAGAATGGCTCATTGTGCCTTGTTAGTGCAAATTATCTGGTTTTTGCTGAATAACTATTTTTCTTTAGGGACTCTGAAATTTAGTACATTCTAAGTAAAGGTTCTCTATGTGACTGATTTCTAATAAAAGGTCTTGACTCCTTCACTCAGGTAAGCTTCCTAGGTAAACAACATTCCATACATGTTGTCAAAACATGTTGCTGGATGATTTAAGTCTGTCCCACGTAGTTTCATCATGAGAACTCTTGAAAGCTTGCACCTGGTTTCCTTGACTTTTCCACATGCACCTTTACCTCTACTAATTTTGCTTTTTATCCTTATTGCTGCACAGCCATAGGACCATCTCTCAAGTCCTGTATTCCTCCTCCTAAATCATTAAGCCCAGTGTGGTGTTGGAAACCTAAGACACATTTTGTTGCTATTTTTTTAGAAAGGCATAGACATTTGTTTGCAGAATTTTAAAAGTACACACTCAAAGAAATATTGTGCTGCCCTCAAGAGGGAGAGAGGACCCTATGGCCTCAAGCTGGGTATATTTATGGGGACTTGTGGATATCCCTAAAATAAGTTATTTAGGAGGTGTATTCTAGTGTCTGTCAGGTTTTGCCCATTTGGTGGGTTAAAATGCAGTCTATTTATATATGAAGCTGAGATATACTATCCTCTTAGGATGAGGATGGTTGATATGAGGAAGCACATTTACAGATGAGGATGGAGGTTGGTAAGAGGGACTGCAATTTACAGGTGAAAGTCACAGGCACAGAGCCTAGTTTATAGGCTGTCTTTAAGGTTCTTAGGAATGTTTCCCGGAAGGGAAAAAACTTGAATAATATTTGTCCCAAAGCTGCAGTTTCTATTTAAAAGTAAATTTTAATATTACAAGTTCCTTGTCTCCTTTTTTATTTATCCTACCTCATTTTCCCTCCTGACTTTGATACCTTACTCTTATGGGCTATAGAAGGGCTGAAGTACTGGTACTTCATACCGATAGGGGGCACTGACCATACTAGCCAGGAAAAAAATCTCATTCTGACTGACCTAAAAGAGACGAAGGAAGATGATAGGGTTGTTACCAGCATGCCATTGAAACTTAAGGCAGAATCTGACACTGCAATAACTTTTGGATGAAGGTCTTGTAAGACACATTTGCAGAGTTATCAGGAATATATACGCAACATTTTGTGTTAATAATAGCACAGATGAGCATCACCTTGACTAAGAGCTAGAGAAGTCAAAATTGTAGTCTTGATTCCTTGCTTATCTCCTGTGGCTGATGGCCAAAGGAAATGTCACTGGATAGGGTCCAAGCAGGTCCCAAAAGTGGAGTGTAACCTTGACTAACCTCATCCACTGTGCAAGTTGCAGGTTTGCTGACTTCCATCAGTGAAAAAGAATTCTCAGTACGCATCAGTAAAAGGCATAAAGAGATTTATGAGGCAATGTGTACTTTTAAAGTACACACTCATAGAAATAGAGTGCGGGCCCTCAAGAGGGAGAGGCCTTTTGTTGCTGTTCTGAGTGGTGTCATCATGATATTATCTGTTGGCTCTTCACAGATTCCCTCTATAGGATGAGAACATTCTATTTAAGTTATTTTTAATCATTCGCAACAAGATGTTGGACTTTGTCAATGCTTTTTCTGCATCTATTGAGAATTAGGTGGCTTTTGTCTTTTAGTCTATTTGCAGGTTATATTACATCCGTTAATTTTCAAATATTAAACAAACAGATTTTATTATAATTGTGATGGGCAGACATTGAAGGGTGCTTTTCAGCCCGTGTAGACTTGGTTTTCTATCTAACTTTTTTTTTTTTAAATCTAGTTTTATCTTCTCTGGGACATGTTCTTTAATTTCTCAGAAACGCCAGTGACCTCCTCTGTAATATCTGTGAGCAATGATGGATTACTGATCTCTTTTCATGCTGCTGGAGACCCAAGGTTCTGTCTTTTGTATTTTATAGGCCCAGAGTCTAACATAAACATTTGTTAAAACCAACTAATCTCTTTAGCAAGCTTGACTGTTTCTGAGCAGATCAGGTGCTGTACCCGGTGGCGCTTGGCAGTCGTTGCCCAGGGAAGTTTCAAGACCGGATCTCCCAATTGCCAGGTGCTCACTGTGTCCCCTTTGCAGGTCTCTGACCGTGCCTCCCAGCCCTGGGTGGATCCTCAAGTGGGGATGGGAGGAGGGAAACTTCGGGCTTCCCAGCTTTGCCAGCAAACCCTTCCCCGGCCTAGTCACGCATCATGCCCACCCATATTCAGGGTCCAGTTCGTGCGGTCCACGCCGCCATCAACCTCTCTTCTGCTCCCCACCCCTTGGTCTGGGCACAATCCCCCTTCGTCCCCACTCACCTAGGATGCGGGTGATGCCAAGGGTCAGCTTCTCCAGGTGCGGCTTGTTGCAGCCCAGCAGCGGGGGTGGTGACTCCTCCATGGCTCGTGTCCCTGCTCGGCGCGCGGCGGGCACCGGGGCGTAGAGCCCGGCGGACTAGAGGAGACCGGGACCCCGCCTCAGCGCCTTCGCCTTCGAGCTCGCGGCATGCCGGGAGCTGTAGTTCGCGACGCCTGAGAGCGCGGCGGGGCAGGATGGGGGAACCGGGCTGGTCCCGCAGCAGCAGCTCCACCCGACGCTCCTTCCCGCGGCCCCGGGCGGGGTACCACACTGCACCTCCGCGACCCCGCCTGCCCTTCGCCCAGACCGTCCCGCCCCGCCCTGGCCGGCCTCGCAAGCGGGGGCGGGCCTCTGCGCGGGACGGCCAATGGGCACTGAGCGTGGAGGCAGGGGCGTGGCGGCCCCGGCGCGACGCTCCCAGTGGCGGTTGTTTCAAGATGGCGGACGTGGCGGGCCCCTCCCGCCCCGACGGCGCGGCGTTCTGGAGCCGGGACTGTATCCTTTGCCCGGCTGGCAGGGGGCGCCGGTGCCCTCCCCAGTGCTGCGAGGGGAGGCCGTCGCGTGGGACTCCGGGTGGACCGAAGCGCGGTGTTGACCCCGGGAGCAGGATCCTGCTGTCCGGCCTCAAGTCTAGGGCTGGGCTTTCCTCTTGCTTGGGTGTTAAGTATCTCAGTCCGGAATGCCAGGCGTGGGAACGCTGCTGATAGTTCCCACCCCTTCTTGGCGCTGAACTGGAGAAGGATGGCCTACAATCGGGCCAAGCGTTGGCTGGTAGCATCACTTTGCTGACCCTCCCAGTCCTCAGGCGGACCAAGTGTGGGGTGAGCTTCTGGCTGAGGGAGGCTGGGTGTTAGCTGGACAAGGCTGTGTGCTAGCTAGGCGGGAAGCCTTTTTTGTGTTGATTTAGACTTGTCCATAGTTGGCTATGTTAGGAGCAAGTCAAGACCTGGTTGGACTTCGAAGGCTTATGAGCAATGAAGGCCTCGTACTGATGCTTTAAGAGAAATGTGCATTTGGTTTCACAGACATGTGCTAGTGGTGCTCATTATAGAATGGGGTGTGAATCTTTGTACCTGCAAATCGTTGACTTATCATGTAGATTGTGGATCACTACCTGCGGGGGTTGACATTTTGGGATGGAGAAGTTCTGGAGCTTTCCTTCTGTCTGATAGTAGTCTGAATACAATATCTGTAATGAGATGTCAGATGTTTGTTTTAACCCATGTTCTGTCCCTGGATTAGGTATGCTGTTGTTGCCTGAGCTTTCATGATTGTAATTTAATTCTTTGTTATAAGGGCATCATTTGGAAGAGGGAGTATTATTGAATGCCCTCGGAGGCTAGTATCTTTGTCTGTTTGCTAGTCTTGGTGATAGCATTGCTATTATGTTTGGCAAAATCAGTCCTTGGACATTCTACTTAGCTTCCAGTGAAATTTACAGAAGTGTATTACCAGTTTCTTTTATTGAGTTAACAAGGATTAGAGTGTCATGTGTGCAGAGAATATTTTTGCAAACTGTGCCGGTACATGTTTAGGGTTATGCACTTACTAAACATAATTACCACTTGCCTTTGGTAGGTTGGTGAGAAGCAAATGAAATTGTGAATATAGACTGCGGATGAAAGCAAACTAGTGCACTGTGTAAATTAAATATTTTTTTCTTTACCTATCAGTAACGAATGGTATTTACCTATCATGGATGGAAAAAGAATATGTACATTGAGGCTGAATTAGGAAATCAGAAACTTGAGATGAGTTTACTCATGAAATACTGCCAGTATAGGAGATTCTTAAAATATATCAACTTGTAACAACTAATAGTGTTCAAATATGGAATACATGGTTGAGGGGTGTGTGACGCTTTGTTGCAGTGAGACCAGATAAGTTAATTAATAAGCATGTAGACTGAACCTGTCTCTTGGTCTTAGCAGCCCTGCCTTTGCTTATTCATGTAGCCATATCATTGTACTCCACATAGAAATCATCTATAGTCTCTCTTACTCTGAAATTTTTATATCAAATACTCATCTACTTATTGGTAGTAAGAAATTGAAATTGTATTAGAAAATATGGTGATTACATTTTATAGAAATTCAGATGCAGGAAAGAAATTGGTTACTAGTATCACCTGCTTCCACAGCCTATTCCATATAATCTGTTAATATCCAGCCTTCAGTTTTTTCTTTATGTTCATAAGGCATCAAAGCAGTGTTAAGTGTAAATTTGTTACTGAGTAATTGCTGAAAAGCATGAATGATAGTTGTTAAGCATTTGGTTTAATCCTGTGCTTTGGATCTTGATTTTTTTTCTGTTATGCTGATGATTTCTCAGATCATCCCTAGGGTCCTTATACTGGAATTTTCAGTGGGAAAAAGCCAGTATGTTCCTATGAGCTGGTATTCTTTTTACACAAATGAAAAAAAGGTTTTCAATACCTCATCTAGGCAATTAAGAGAAATGTGATTGAAGGATTTTGCAATCATGGAAGTTTCCATCATGAGAAGACAGATCATCTGTGACTAATTGTCACCTTTTTTTACTGTTGTTCTTGTTAATTATGTATATCCAGCATATTATGGTTCAGCAGTGCTATTTTGGGATAGGTTTGTCTTAGTCCCTAACATGTAAAGGCATATTATATGGCATATTATCATTTCATGGGTTAAATCTTCCAGTAAAATATGCTTCATCAGTTGTAAATTGCTGCTTCACTATAGTTGCTAGTAATATTAGAAGTAGTAAATTTGATTGCTTAAATGCACTGAAGTAGATTATCATTAACAGTATTAGTAACTTGATATTAACAAATATGAACTGTAAGGGACCCAGTCAAAACATTGCTATAATCTCTGCCATTGAATTTCCAAATAAAGATAGACAAAGACTTTATGTTAATGTAAAAAGAATATCCTAGCTCAGAAAGTCTTTGTGGTCAAAAATAATTACATACACAGGGGTGTTAAAGTGGTCAGTATTAAACTTACTTCAGATCCTGGACATCTGGAATAGAGATGCATATTATATTCTCCATTTCTGTCCTGGGTTTCTAATTACTACTTCACTTTTGGGACTTTAGATAGATTGATACCAGTATTAAAGATACTTTATAACTTCGTATATTTGTTTTATTGAGGTGTGTGAAACCAAAGTAGAAATAAGGTGGCACAAGGAACACAGTAATATAGCCAATATACCTTTGGCATATATTACATCTCTTTTACTTTCTCATAAAATGTACATTTTGGGGGAATTCTGTACAGTAAATTAAAGAGATGGAAGATGACATTATTAGAAAGAAAACATTGAATGCAAGCACTTTCAAATATTTTTATCCTTATTTTTAAAAAAAATTGAAGTCACTTTTGAGTTTTTTCTATTTGAAAAGAAATTTTACATGTATGTGGCTAACAGTAATAAAGTTTGCCTATATATTTTGAGTGAGATAAAGAAAGAACACTGCAAGTTATTGGGCCATGCTTCATAAATTAATACGTTTCATTCTTTCATAGATGGCTTACTTATGAACCAATATTCTTTTATATTTGGGAACACAAACTTGAACAAAGATAAAAATCATCACCTTTTGGTACTTACATCCTGTGAGATCAGACCAAGAATAGATAAAATATATAGTTATATGGGCTATAGAGAAAAATGAAGCAGGAAAGGGGCATGTGGTAGGGATAATTAGAAGAACTGCAGGAAGAGAGTTTTATAATTTTATGATTTTAAGTACTTACATGATTAAGGAAGTTAAGATCTTAGTCAGAAGGTGACCAAAGCCCTAAAGGTGATGAGGGGGAGAGCCATAAAGGTACTGAGAAAGAGCCAACTGAATAAAAGAAATCATAAATATAAAAGTTATGAGGTAGAGCCTTTCATAATTGGTTAACAAATATAAGGAAACCAGGTATCTTAGTTACTTTTCTCATTGCTGGGATAAAATACCTGACACCAAAATTAAAGAGGGAAAGGTTTATTCTAAAATTCTCTTTTTTTTTTTGGTACCAGGAATTGAACTCAGGACCTTGCGCTTGCCAGGCAGGCATTTGTGCCGCTGAGCTATATCCCCGGCCAGAAAGGTTTATTTAGCTCATGGTTTGTAGAGGTTTTGGTCCATACACAGCTGGCTCCAAAGTGGGGTGGAATGGCACAGGAGCAGCAGTTCATGGCAGTGGAAGACAGCAAAAATAAGAGCAAAAAGGGTGAAACAAGCTTCTTTCTATTCCTTTTATCTTATACAGACTGTTGGGATTAGGGTGTTGTCAACCCAGTCAATAGAGTGATCTAGCAATCACCCAGCCTCAATTCCAGCACCTTTAATCCCAGCATTGCACTATGAATCAGTCACAAACTCTAGATTGCACTACCTCCAACCCCCCAACCCCCTGCCCCATGACCACATCAGGCTTTAGGGGAACATTCAGACACAAACTATAACACTAGGAATGAGTGAGGAGAAGAGTAATAAGAAACGAGGTCAGAGAGCTAACAAGATGCAGAGGTCAGATTTTGAGCCCTGTGAGTCCTTGTAAGTACTCTTGTGCTTTTAATGTGAATGAGGTTTAATATAAATTTTAAAGTGTTCATTCTAATCACTGTGTGAAAATGGGCTGTTGAGGGGTTATGCCTAGAAATGAGAGAGCAGTTATGAGGTAATTACCGTAATCTTGACTAGAGAAAAAGGTGATTTGGATCAAGGTGATATGTGATGGTGAAAAGTGGTTGGGCAGTAATTATGTATACATGTATTTTGAAAGCCTTGCCAGCAGAATTTTGAGAATGTAAGATATGAAAGAAGCAGAAGTCAAGAATAACTCCATGATTTTGGCCTGGTCAGCTGGAAGGATGGAACTGCCATTTACTGAGATTAGCACTTCATTTTTGGACTGATTTTGGACTCAAATTCAGTGTTGAATTTGAGATTTTTTTTTGTGTGTGCTACTTGAGACTGCATCTGTGGACCTTCATATTGAGCCACATCCCCAGTCTTTTTTTGTGTTTCATTTTGAGACACAGTCTCAATAAGTTGCTCAGACTAGGCTTGAATTTGTGATTCTCTTGTTTTAGCTTCCCAGGGTGCTGGGATTGCAGGCATGTACTACCTTACCTGGCAAATTTGAGATATTTTGTATATCTAAGTGGCAATGTCAGGTTTAGGGGGTAGGCACAAGCTAAAAATTACTTTGGCAGAAGTCAGTTTATTGATAGTATTTAAGGACATGAGGACTGAAGAAGATCATCAAGAGAATGTGTAGATGCAGTATCACAGTTTAAGATTTAAGCCCAGGATTTATAGGGCAGGAAGAGTCAGGAGACACAGAATAAATTATTGGAAAAGTAGGAGAAAATTCTGAATACAGTATATGGTGTCATTGAAAGTAGACACAAAAGATGTTTTAAGGAGAGTGGTCGTCTATGTCAAGTGCTTTTGATAGATCAACTAGAAGATAGATCAACTTCTGATAGATCAGAGAAGCCTGAGGATTGATGGATTTAACAGTACAGGATATTATAAGTATGTTAAAAGTCATCCTGGATTGATAGGCTCAAAAGTCTTGTTTTGTTTTGCTTTACTGGCCTTGAATTCACTATGTAGCCTTGAACTCATAGCCATTTTCCTGTCTCAGCCTCCCAAGTGCTGAGATTGTAGGTTGTGCCATGATGCCAGGCTCAAAAGCTTGATTGTAGAAAATTTACAGTTGATTGGGAGGAGAACTGGAGCCAGTGAATGAAAACAAAAGTGGCACCATAGGTGGAGGGGAGTGTACAATCGAGAGGTTTTTTTTCCTGGAAAAATAAGGTATTACATATTTAGATGCTGATGGATCAAATTAAATAGGAAAAATGATTCAGGAAAAAAGGAGAAAATATCAGGAACAATATCTATGGGTAAGAAAGTAATTTTTAATGTAAGGATTGCATTTGCTTTAGATGCTTGAATAGTTACTTTATGTGTCACAAAAAGAGGAAAAGCAGAGTCTATGAATAGTGTTGGGTATGCTGGCAAAAGCCTGGGGACGATCTTTACAGTTTGTTTTCCTTAAAGAAATGGGAAAAGTTTACTAGCTGAGAGCAAGGTAGGAGAACTTGTAACAGGTTTGAGGAGAAAAGAGGAAATACTTGACTGCATTTCCAAATGAGGGTGTAGCTGAGTAGGTTCTCCAATGGCTGATCTCTTCCATTTGTGAGCAGACTCCTTTGTGAATGGTCTTAGGGAAGTGTAGTTTGTTTTCTAGGACTCAAAAGTTATGTTAGTCCTTCCATAGGCCATCTTTGGAAAATAGTCTGAAAATTCTTCTCTACTCTATCTTCTAGTTAAAAAGCACTACCATATGGAACATATCTTGCCCCATTGTCTTGGATTTTTCTCCCTGAATACCTTTTCCTCAGTATATTTCAAATAGCAAATAAATATTTATTGGGTGCTTATTGTGTGTACAAGGTCCTGTGTATATCCTAAGGGATGTAAAAAAAAATGAATCTGTTTTTGTCATGGATGAACTTGAACAATTTTATTTTATAAGGCTATTTTTAAATTGGTATCCAGTGAATTTAAATCTTTTCTGCTCCCATATTAGTTGCTGTCAATTTCTTTGGCATAGTGGTTCCAATTTTGTTTACTTGCCTTGTGTGTCTCCTTTTCTAAACTCCATCTCTGATGTCTGAGGAAACTGAAAATTTAGGGACACATAATATCCTCTTAAATATTAAAGCTGTGATGCTGCAGCTGCTGCATAGAGAAACTAACTAGCAGCTAGGACAGTAAGCATTTGATTATTCCTAATAATTATTCTTATGGCATTCTAGGCATTATTGGTCAGTATTGCCTGGGAAGACTCCATTATTAGAGTTGATACTGTACTAAAGTATGTTAACTTTTTGACCATGTTATTAAACCTATTCTAACCTTTTCCAGAAAGCCATAGTTAATAATTGCTTTGCATAGAAATCTTTGAATACATTTTGTAAAAGAACAGAAAACACTGGAAATTTTCTAGATCATTTGGAAAGAAAATTGTCTAGCTGCTGCCTGTCTGGAGTAAAACAGAAAATCTGGGCATATGTGGATTTAGATATAGTTCTGAGTATTATTTTGATTCTAGAGAGAAAGCTTTTTATTATTTTGGCCCTCTTTCTGTAGCAATGTTATAATCTTAACCTTTCTAAATTTTCCCTTTTGAAATTCAAAATGGTTCTTTTTTTCTTAGTTTCTTCCACTTTTTTGATAGTAGAACTTTTTGAGACATTTCATGAATGCAGTGTAGAAGAATAAATACTGCCTTTGTGTTTGCATGATTGACTTGGCCCTGAGTGATTTGATCTTCATAGCTGAAGCTCATCTTAAAAATTGCACATATGGAGGTGTTAGGAGAAGGTAATTTGCTAGTTTCTTAATAATGGGTAAACTGGAAAACTTAGCTACTTGTTTACAAAAGGAAAGGAACTGGAAAAGAGAATGTATATAGTAAGATACCCTGTTTGGATAGTGAATGAAAGTTCTCATGAAACAAGGCTTTCCAAAACTTTTATAAATTATTTAAAGAATATTGATTTTGCCACATTTAATTCAATTGCCTGTCTTTCTAGTTTTATTTTTAATAGTTATCTATTTCCAGGTCACAAGATGAAGAATTCTAACATGTATTTAATAGGCGCAGCATTTGGAAAATGTTACATTCTTTTATATTATTTTCCTTCATGTTCCTTTTCATAGTTTCTGATGAAGAACAATCAATAGTGTATGTTCCAGGTAGGATTTCTGTGTTAAAATTTGGGAAGCTTCCTTTGCTTCTTACCTATTAGAAAACAAAACTTGAGGAGAATTTTGTAGGTATAACTGGATACATAGCAGCCCATCAGAACCTAAAATTATTTTTTCAAAACAAATTTAAAAAGTCAGATGTTTAAAAATATTTTACCAGGCTTTCAAGATTTGAAATACTGGCTCATGTTAGGAACTAGCTAGATTGAGTCAACTTTTAATGAACTTGTAGGATATTTCATGTATTAAGGGTCAGAGATTCTTTTAAACATGTTTTTAAGGAATAATAGTCTAAATTTAACACTTCAAAAGAATGTGTGAAAACTTGATACAGGTATATGTAAGAAATTCATTAAAGTTTAATCGTTGTTACTAGATGAATAGTAAAATGGAATCATTGAAAGCACCCTACCTAGGTGATATCATTGATTCCCCTTATGATATTGATGAAACATGTTATAATTGCTTGGTTTTATTGTAACTTATGAATGTTCACAGCACCTTTAAAAATATTTCAATTGAATTTTTATAGTATTTCTTGAAAGCATAATCTTTTCATGATGTATTATATATTGAGAGTTTTAAAATGAAGTTTATAAAGAAAATTCTTCCCATGAGATTCCATAAAGTAGAGGATATCAACAAAAGTTGATGGGGAATTGTTTAAGAGAATAAGAAGATACAATTTTTTTGAAATCTTGTTTAATGAAAACCCATAGGAATTTCTACAGAAGGAAATACAAGATCAAGACACAAGTTGCTAAATCCAAAAGCTGATGTTAAAGTTAAGACTTCCAGGATGACTGATGCTTCAGTTTCTGTGGAATCTTTAAAAGGTGCAGGAGATTCAGTAGATGAACAGGTCAGTAATTAATTTTAAAAAATTTTTACTAGTTCTTATAAGTGCTGACCAATAAGGGTAAAAGAGCTTTTAATTAAAGGAACATTAGGTGATCTACAAGTATGCATAATAGGTAGAGAAACTTCTGAGATTCTTTAATGATACCGAAAATGAATACAAAATGTCTAGAATACTCAGAGGTTTTGCTCTAAATATATAGACATGTTCTAAGTCTTAAGAAAATATATTATTTTAATATAGTATGTCTTGAAAGATCTGCATTCTGATCTATGTGGTAGTAGTAAATCAGATTAATAAGAATTTTCGTAAAATTATACATCCTTTATGATTTTTGTTCTTGTGAATTTATTGGTGGATACACCCTTTTATATAAGAATAATGTTCTATTAAAAATTGACCTGTATCATTATTATTAGCATTACCTTGACTTGGAAAATAATATTTTCTTACTTTTTATAGTCCAGTCATTGATTTCTCCCTTGTCTTTATAATGGTACCTGGGCATTTTTGGTCATTTGTATATCATCTTTCAGACAAGTATCTAGTTGGATCTTTTGTGTATATCTAGACTTCTTCCATTTGACATTTTTCTTCTGCCCAAAGGACTTCTGACCTACTTATTTTAATTTTTATTATATTTTCTCTCCTCAACTAAAGCTGAAGACAGAATTTACTATCTATGACCTGTGAGCCAGTCCTTCTGTTGGTTGTTTTGTAAATACATGAAATTTGTTTGAATCCCAGTTATGCCCATTCTTTTAGGTATGGTCTGTGGCTGTTTTAGTGTTAACAGTGACAGAGACTGTATGCCAGCAAGCCAGAAAATTTACCGTCAGATACTTCACAGAAAGTTTCACAATCCTTAATTTGTATTCTTGGAAGACATTTCTAAGATCTAGTTTGTTACGAATGATTATGTTTAGTTGTCTACAAATTTAGGTGTGATTATGATACCAAGCTTCATCTGTGTTTTATCATGTATCATTACTCTTTTTATGGCTAAATACACATTTTGTTTATCCATTCATCAGCTAATGCATACATTCAGAATAATGCTGCCATAAACATTCATATACTAGTTTGTGTGTAAGAATGTTTTTAGTTATCTTCAGATATAGCTAGAAATCAGTCATGTGGTGTTTATGTTTAACTTTTTCAAAAATGCCAAACTATTTTTCACAGTGGCTACTTTCCTGTCACCAATGTATACAGTTTCCAGTTCTCCACATTCTCACCAGTGTTTGTGTTCCCTTTTTTTATTATAGGCATCCTTGTGGGTGTGAAGTGATAGTTCACTATGATTTTGATTTGTACTTTCCTAATGACTAAAGATGAGGAACATCTTTCTGTTTTTGTTTTTGTTTTTGTTTTTCGTTTTTCTTCCGGTACCAGGAATCGAACTCACGACCTTGTGCTTGCCAGGCAGGAGTTGTGCCGCCAAGCTAAATTCCCAGCCCCGAGGAACATCTTTCTGTGCACTTCTTGGTCAGCTGTATATCATTTTTCAGACAAGTATCTAGTTGGATCTTTTTGTGTATGTCTGGACTTGCATCTGACATTTTTCTTCTGTCCAAAGAAATTTCTTTAGTATTATTATAGTGCTGGTACATAGGGAATTTTTTTTTCAGCTTTTGTATGCGTAAAATGTATATTCTTTTCATTTTTGAAAGGTATTTTTTTCTACTTCTGGATTTCTGAGTTGATAATTGTATATCTTTGAATGCTTAAATGATGTTTCTCAGCTTCCTGTCTTGCATTGTTTTTGAGAGGTCTACTGTCATCCTTACTTTTACTCCTGTGCTGTGTGTGTGTGTGTGTGTGTGTGTGTGTGTGTGTGTGTTTAAATTCTGACTGGTTTTAAGATTTTCTTGTTATCACTCATTTTGACTATAGTATGCCTTCAGGTAATTTTCTATATAAGTATCTCTTTTGGCTGTAGTTAAGCTTTTTGAGTCTTTCTGTTTATAGTTTTCATCATATTAGGAACTTTTTTACTGTTATTTCTTTGGACATTTCCATGTTTCTATCTCTTCTTTTTCATGACCTCTGTAACACAAATCTTAGGTTGATTGAAGTCATCCAGTAGCTCTGAAATCCTTTTGTCTGTATTTTTATTTTTTTGTTCTTTATCTTTGTTTTGCTATTACTGTATCTCAAATTCATTAATGATATCCTTCTGTAGTATCTAACCTGCCACTGATTCCATCCAGTATATTTTTCATGTGAAACAATGTAGACTTTATGAGTTCAATTTGGGTCTTTTATTTTTATCTTCTGTAATTCTAACATGCTCAATCTTTCTTCTAGCTTCTCAAACATATAGAATATAGTTATAATAACTTTTATTGTTTTTGTCTACTGAATTTGATCATCCAAGTCATTTATGTACGTGTTTTTGTTGAATAATTATGGATTATTCTTTCCTGCTTTTTGCCTGCTTAGTTTTTCGTTGTTGTTTCCTTGTTTATTTGGGTACCAACAAACAATGTGAATTTTACCTTTTTGTATTCTTGATATTCTTTTATTTCTACAAATAATCCTGAGATTTGTTTTGGAACAGTGTCATTTGGAATTAGTTTGCTTCTTCCTAGTCTTGATTTTAAACTTTTAAAGGTGATGCCAGATTAGTTTTAGAAACAGCTAAGTCTGCACATCATAGGCAGTCCTGCTTGTGAATATTCTTTGTGATGGCCCCTTCAATTACAAGACTTTCCACTGTGGCTAGTGGGAACCTGGGTTCTTCTTTATAGTGTCTTAGGTACTAAAATTATTCTCATTGTTCACTTTGGACTTTTTTCCTTGGGTTTGTGTAGTTCCCTCGTACACATATGCGGTTTAATACTTACCTGTTGACTTAAATGAACTCTATATATCTCTGGAGCTTTTTTCTATATGGCTTTATCCTTTCTTTTACATTGCACTGCAAATTACAGAAACTTTGGCTTTCCTGCCTGTACTCAGAAAGATTCCTGAGTTCTGTCTGGATTTATCTACCTTGTTGCCACAGATAATTAGCTAGGAAAATCGTAGGGCTCACATTATTTGGTCCCCCACTTTCAGTGATCATCCTGTACTTCCTACTAGCCAATGGAAAAAATGTCGCATATATTTTGTCTCATATATTTTGTTAGGTTTGGAAATAAGTCCCGGTTACTCATTTGGCTAGGAAAAAGCTGTCCTAAATATGAAGGGTATATGTATATTTTTTTTTCAAGGTGAAATGGTAGTGCTTCTTTTGTTTTGTGTTTAATGGAAGGATATAATGTCTTACTTTTTTTTCTCTGGATGATCTTTGTAGCAATTGATGTACAGTATCTAGATCCTTGATTCACTAGTTTTCATAGTGGTGACTTTAGCAGTTCCATGTTAGTTTTCTGGGAAGTAAACTCCAAGATGATTTAGAAATAGTAGAGATTTAAAGAAGGAAAAGCCTGCAGGCATGTTCAGTCTGTAGGTGCACAGGCTACTTGTTCTTTTTTTGAAACTGTTATAATAACAAATATAGAATAATACAGGAAGTTTTGTTATTTATATATGTTAGCTATATTGTATGTTTTATGTAGGTTCCAAGACAGTTCCTCTTCACTCAGCAGCCCAGGCAAGCCAGAAGGTTGGACATGTCTACAAGCAGGAATAGTCAGAGGCTCCAGATCTTCAGGTCTGACATTTGTGAGACAGGAAAAAAAAGGAAGCTGGACCAGAAAGATCCAGTAGTGTGATATAGTATCTATTATATGCTCATCAGGAACCTCAGAGCAAATATTACCTTTGGAGGATGCCATTTGAAGCAGAAATGGCCCAGTTTTACTGTCTTCACTATTTCCAGTGATTGCTAGTGGTATGAACACTGTGGAAGTTCCTAAAGTTATAGAAAGTGGGAACAGTTAGCTAACTACACTCTTTGTAGCAGGTTCCCTTTTTTAGCAGCCATATTGCTTTACTTTTCACAGCTAAGCCTACTATTCATCAGGAATTAATGTGTACATGTGGTGTTAAATCAGGACCGCTGCTCATATTTCCATACTGATAGTCTATTGGCCCAGTGCCATTCCTTGAGAAGACCCTTCTTTTTCCCTAGTGAACTGTGATGATGCCATTGTTGTAAATCAAGAGTCCGTAAAGTGTGGCCTTCCTTTATATCTTCTTTGTAATTCCTGTCTTGAATTTTATGTTTATCATTTTTTTTTGTATTTTATATCAGATATTGGCAAGATTTTTTTTTGTAAAAAAAAGCCTCTGATAGTAAATAAGCTTTGCAGATTGCAAGATTGATCTCAGTTACTCAGCTTTATCCTTGTAGCCTGAAAATATCCATAGGAAATATGGAAATCAGTGAGCTTGAGTATGTTTATATTATCTTAGTTACAAAAGGAGGCAGTGGGCCAGATTTGGCTTGTAGCTATAGTTCTGGAAGGGCTAGAAAAAACTGCAAATTGGAATCAGATGTTCTTGTCAGGGTGCATAACTCAGACAGGTATAATGCTGACAGTAAAAAGGAGGGGTATGTTGTTTTCCCCTCTAACAACCTCTGATCTTAAATCTAGTTCTGTCAGCAGAGGTTTTCAGAAAGCCAGGTGGCAAAGGAGAAAAGAGGTTTCCATACTCTTAGTTTCAACATCACAAAGCAGAGCAAAGATGTATAAGTTTAACTACAAATGAAAGTCAGCAGCATAACAACCAGTACCTATAGAATTCCATGGTATAAATATACTATAGCTTTGCTATCTTTAGATGATAGACGCTTGTGTTGAGGTTTCTGATGTTAAAACGGAATGGTTGCTCACCTGTGTTTCATCTTTCACCCAGTGCACTACTACTGAAATGTCTTCTGAGTATTAGCAATTTCTTTCATTACTAAATCCAGTGCCTTCTTTCTCCAGTCTTCACTTTTTTGATCACTAGCAGTCTTCAGATTTATTCTTCTGCAATATTATATGCTTCTGATTCTCCTCTTGACTTTTTAAATGCAAATTTAAAATATAATAAAATAAAAAGTTAAATCAAATACAAATTTTCCCAGATTTCTAGCTGATTTACACCCTCTGCAAAAAAACCCCAAAAACCTCGTGTGTCCCTTGAGAGATAAACCTACCTTTCTAATTTCTACCTAGACAGTTTCATATGTCTGGCTTTTACTATTTCCAGAATTTATTTCAGGGGTTGTGGGTTATACTTGGCTACCCAGAATAATTGGAGTGACTTACTTTGGTACCTGTACAAATGCCAAGAATCATTGTTCCTTCCTTTTACATGTTACCTATGGTTCCCTGGTGACTCCTTCAGTTTTGTGGCTTTAAAGACCTTGTAAAGTACTGAGGAGAATGTTTGTAACACAAAAGAAAGAACAGTGTAGTATTTAAGAGCATAAACTGTAGAGCCTGTGTTTGAGTCTTGATTCCTCAGTTAAGCTGCTATATCATACATGGGCAAGATTATCATCAGTATAGGAGTAACGCTTACCTAATAGCTATGGTAGTAAAACAATAATAAATACAAAGTAGAAAGACTACTCTTGGCATGTGTAATAAGCAGTAGATATAAATGTTAGCTGTTATAATTATTAGTCATTGATCTAGTCCCATTTGGAATGAACTTTAGGATGCTTAGTAACTGATGCATCTTTTGTCAACCCTCCTGTACCCTTTAAATTGGGTAGAGGCTGAAGTTTAAGAAAGGTTCTCAATATTTTCCATTAGAGACTTGTTCCTTTAACATTCCACAAGGGAAAGTTAATTCCTTATATTCTGTAGTATTTTATCGGTAACAGTTTTGGCTTCTATGTTTTTTTTTTTTGTCTGTATGCTTTTCTTTCCCTTTTTAAAATCCTTTTTCTGTATGCTTTTCTCTGTAAATTCCATATATTTTCTGCTTCACAGTCAGTTCCTTAGCCTATTTTGAGTTCACAATAGGTTTAAGTGAAACAAGTCATATCCCACCAGATAAAAGATATCTAAAACATTTCACTTTCCATGTTTATTTTAACAGGCTTTTCAAAATAATTTAACACTTTTTAGAAAAACTAACCAGAAGATTTTTATGTTGTTGTTTTAGAATATCTGCAAGGAGGGAATGAAGAGTGCATCATTGAAGGATTTATGTCTTGAAGACAAAAGACGCATTGCAAACTTAATTAAAGAACTGGCCAGGTAAGACAACATCTTATATGAAATCCATTATAAGAGAGACAAAGCTTTCAAACAAAAATTGCTGATGTTTTGATGTTATCATGTTATTGATCTATAGGAGAAAAGACCTTTAGAAAAAAGACATTTTATGTTCCTCTTAAAAAACACTCCCTGCTCAAGTTCTCACCCACTATAACTTAACTTTCTTCCACCTGGCCCTATCTTGTAAAGGCTTCACCACTTGCATAGTGGGCTGGGGCCAAGCCTTTAATTTAATAGGTGAGCCTTTGAGTTTGCTTATCCAAATCAAGATACTTTGGGGAAAAGCCATTGGAACTATTTAAATTATACTCTTTGCTCTGAAGCTGTTACTCACTATGATAAGCATTTATCTGAGAAACTTACCTGGAACAACTATTATAGTAATGTTTAATGGTCAGTTTATAGTTCTCATATTATTTTACATTTGTTAATTAGAATTCTTGGTTAAGGAGCTATCTTTTTTTTTTTTTTTTTGACCTGTTTCTCTTCATATTTATTTTCATCAATATAAGACTTACAGACATTTATTGTATTCTAATCCAGGACTCACAGAAACAAAATTAAGTAACCATATGATATTCATTAAAGAAAATAACTTTTATTTTGAGGTCACACAGAACCGTGTATCCTTTACCCAGTTTCCACCAATGATAACATTTTAACTAACTACAGAATAACATTACAACCAGGAAATTAACATTGACAAAATTCATAGTCGCCTACAGATTTCAACAATTTTACATATACTTATTGTATATGTATTTAGTTCTGTGCAATTTTATCACATGTGGATTTGACCATGTGTGGATTTGTGTATTATCACCATAGACAAGTTATGAAACGGTTCTAAGTATCAAACTGTTTTTTTAAGGACATGGCTACTTTTCTTCCTATGTCCTTTCCTACTCAAGCCACCACTAAACTGTTCTCTATCTGTAATTTTGTCATTTCATGAAAGTTATAGAAATGGAATCATACAGTGTGTAACTTTTTGAGATTGGCTTTTTCACCTGCCATAATTCTCTTTAAGTGTATCCAAGTTATTAAATGTTTCATTAGTTTGTTCCATGGTTAGAAGTAGCATGGTTTGTTTAACCATTTAGCTGTTGAAGAATATGTGGGTTGTTTCTAATTGTGTGTGTGTGTGTGTGTGTGTGTGTGTGTGTGTGTGTTTTACTGGGGACTCAATTTGGGACCCTGCAGCTGCTAGATCCATACCCTACTACTCATCTATATCCTCAGTTCCTTCCCCACTTTGTTCTTATATTTTATTTTAAGACAGGCACTTGAAAAGTTTGCCAGCCCAGCCCTCAACTGGCAATCTTCCTGTTCAGTCTTCCAAGTAGCTGGTATTAAAGCATACACTACCCTGGCTGCCATCCAGTTTTTGACAGTTACAAATGAAGCTTCTATGAACATTCATATACAGGTTTTTGTGTGAATGTAACATTATTATTTCTTTGGGATGTTGTGTCACAAGTACATGTTTAGCTTTGCAAGAAACTTCTGAACCACTTTCCTGAGTGTAGTACAATTTTACATTCCCACCAGCCGTGCAAGAGAGACTTGTATTCTCTGCATTTAACATATTTGTTATAATTAATTTTATTTTAGAAATTCTTGTAGCTCTGTAGTGATACCTCATGTTCATTTTAATTTGCATTTTTCTAATGGCTAATGATGTTGAATTTTATTTTATGTACTTATTTCCATCTGTGTTTTCTTCAGTGAGGTTGCTGTTCATTCTAGTTGTCCATTTCTTATTGGAATATTTGGGTTTTTATTACTGAGTTTTTAGAAGTCTTTGTATATGTGTTCCAGATATAAATCTTTTGTTGGATATATAGTTTATAGTTACTTGTTTCTTCATTCCCTTCAGAGAGTACATTTTTCAGTAGATCAGTGTGTAATTTTTTTCCTTTTAAATCCATGACCCATATTTGGTTGACTTTTATATATTGTGTGCTATCTAAGTTGGATTTTGGTTTCTGTTTTATCTTTTTGCCTATTGAAGTGCATTTGCTCTAGTGTCATATGTTGAAATTTTTCATGCACTTCTGTCAGAAATCAGTGAGGACATATTTGTATGGGTCTTTTTCTGGGTTCCTTTCTTTGCATTGATCTGTGTATCTGTTCTTCCAGTTGTCTTGATTATTGTATAGATAAAGTATAATGAGCCTTTATGCTGAGAAGAGTGTCTTCTACTTCAAGTTCTTTTTCAAAAATTTTTTAGCTCTTCTAGTGTTAGTTCTTTCCATAATTTTAGCTTAGCTTGCCATTGTCTACAAAAAACTGCTGAATATTACATCAAACTGTAGATGGATTTTAAGAAGAATTAAAATTTTTACTATATTGTATCTTCTAATCCATAAATAGGATGTGTTTCTCCAATTGTTTAGGTCCTTGATTTCTTTATGTAGCTGTAATTTTTAGGATGCAGAGTCTGTATGGTTTCTTACCTATCTAAATATTTAACTTTCTTTGGTGCAATTATACTTTTAATTTTTATTTTCATGTGTTTGTTTACAGTATGTAGAAATATGGTTGAATTCTGTATATTGATCCTGATTCTTGAAACCCTGGATGAATTCACTCATTAGGTTTAAGGCTTTTGCTGTTGACTTTTTCTTTCTTTTTTTATTTTTTTGCTACTGGGAATTAAACCCAGGGCCTCACATATGTTAGGTAAGTGCTCTACCACTGAGCTACATTCTAGCCTTCTCCCATCCTTTTCTTTATTTGTACAGTCTATGTTTGTAGTACATAATATTTACATTCCTGTGGAGAGTTGGTACATGTACATAATACATCTTAATTCCTTTTTTTCTATCCCCCTTTCCTTTTCTTCTGCATATCTTGATCCTTGAAAGAAATTTTATGGGATCCCACTAAGCTACCTAGGGTGAATTCATACATGTGATTCTTCTGCTTCTGTTTTTTTCAGCTGCTTTACCAGGCTGAGGAATTGTCTTTCTATTCTTTGACTTAAGAAGCAGGGTCTTCATGTGTTGCTCAAGCTTGCCCTAAACTCCCGGCCTCGAGCTAAATTGTTCCCTCACCCTCCCTGGTGTTACAGGTGCACACGACTGTACCCAACTCTATTCCTAGTTTTTATTATTACCTGCTGGATTTTGTTAAGTGCTTTTCTCTGTGTAAGTTGATACTTCTTCTTTAGTCTATGATACTATGGATTATACTGATTGATTTTTCTTTTTTTTTGGTACCGGGAATCAAACTCAGGACCTTGCGCTTGCCAGTCAGGTGCTATACTGTTGAGCTGTAATGCCGGCACTGATGGATTTTTGACTGTTGAACAAGACTTAAATACTTGTAATAAGTTTCATTTGCTATAATTGTTTTATACATTGTAGAATTTGACTTGCCTTTATATTTTAGGAATTTTTACATCAAAGTGCATGATAGGTATTGGTCTGCAGTTTTCTTTTTTGTACCATTTTAGTCTGGTTTTGGTATCCTGGTAATTTTAGCCTCATAAAGTGAGTCAGGAATTGTTCTGTCCTTTTCTGTATTCTGGAAGCAATCATGGAAAACTAGTGTTAATTCTTATTTCAATATTTGTTAGTAGTCTCCAGTGAAACTGTCTGGACCTTGAGATTTTTGTTTGAAGAATTTTTAAATCGTCAATTTATTTAATGGCTGTAAGATTCATATCTGTTTTATCTTGATTGAGCTTTGGGAGTTTGTGATTTTTTGAGAATTGTTTATTTTTTCTAATTTGTTGAATTCATAAAGATAAAATTGTTAATAGTATTCCCTTACTATATTGTTAATGATGATAGGATCTGTAGTGCTTTCTTTCTGATTTTAATGATTTATGGTTTCTCTCTTTTGTTAGTCTTGCTGGCTTTCTCAATTTATTGATTTTTTTCCCCAAAGAACCAGTTTTTTGTTTCACTGACTTGTAAGTGTTTGAAATTTTTCTTCTTTCCATTAGTGACTTTTGATGTGGCTCTGTAGTAATCAGAGAACAACTAAAAATTTTTTCAGATTTGTTTCATGGTCTAGGATATGGTTGATCCTGGTGAATGTCCATAAATGCTTGACAAAAAGCTTTATAATTGTATCTCTCTTAGCTGACATTGAGGATTTTCTTTAAAATTTTAAAAAAATCATCCTGTATGCAACTAATTCTCCCTCATTGCTGCAACACCCTCTACTGCACAGCAGCCTTTCTTATCCTGCTGGAATTCTGATTCCCTATTGCAGTCCTTCTATTTCCCTTCCATAGATGCCCTCTCCTTCTTACTTATCTTCTAGCACACCAGTTCAGGCTTTGCTATGCCTAAATACCCTCCTCACTCCTCTCAGATTCTCACTTTTCATGGTGAACTGTTCTCACTACTTGGATATTCTCTTCTTTCTGCTTACGCTTTGATATCCTGTGCACAGTGAACTCTTGATGGTTATGTCATCCTTACCCACCTCTGGCTCTGATTTCTCATGTTGATCCTTTCTCTTATGTAGATGCACTCCTCAATCACCTCAGGTTCTCATTCCACACAATCCTGCCCTTCTTGAGGTTAGTTCTACTCTATCTTGCTATACACGGGATTGCCCCTGAGTACCTGTGCTGTTCAACCCTGGGATTTGCTATTCTACCTCAAGTTAACTTTTTAATTTTTTTATTTTAATTTTAACTTTAGTATAATACAAGTAGATACTAATAAAGAAAATATGAAAAACTCTCTTATGAAAAATACAAAAAATTTCATAACAAAATAATTACAGAATAACAGTGGTTAATACACCATGTATCATAATATTAAAAGAATGGCCAGAATGTTACTCTAGTACATATGGATACTATCTTCACCGTTTATTAATTACACTTCACCAGCATTCCCCACCAACTCTGCAAGGCTTCCCTCCCACTGTACATGGTCTCTGAATCTCTATACTAGGTCTCCAATACCTCCTTGCAGGGATACCACCTCGTTTTACTTAGGCTGTAGCATACAACATGGATGCTTTTCTTACCTCGCTCAGGTTCTGACATCTCTTTCTGTACTGCGATGTGTGTGGCCATCCTCAGTTTGCTTGGGCCTTGACAGTCTTGGCAATCCCTCTGTGCAGATGCCATCGCTTTCTCACTCAGATTCTGACTCTGCCCCACGTCATTGTTTTAGATCTTAGTGTTCAAGAGGAAAAGGCAAAGTGAAAAATAAAGAACATGAAAGCCAAACTTCCATTTTGAAGAGAAAAATGTGTCCTTTGGTAAAGGACATTTAGGTTATTTCCTTGTTCATGAATAGCACAGTTTTATATTCATACACTTTCCTTTCCAAACCGTAGCACATAAGTCAGTAACTGCTTCTTCTGTGTTATGCCTGCTTTACTTCACATATCAGTTTTTTAAAAAAATCAGTAGACTTCTTATGAGTAGATAGAGAATAATGATAAATTGCTAATAGAAAATGGTTAGGAGGATGAAGTTTTAAAAGTTGTCTTAATTTATATCTTTTGAGAAAAAATTAGTTATGAAAAATGCTTTAATGGTGTTAAAGGTCAAATCAAATGGGAAAAAGTATCAGAAGATTTAGAAAACTTAGGTATTCCTGTGACATACTTAAGTATAGCATACTTAAAGATTTTTAGCTCTTATGCAAATCCACTGGCATTGTTTCAGGAGAGAAGTCACTTAGCGTGCTGGCACCACTGGCGATTGACAAGCATATTTTCAAAAAGATATAATATTCACTAGCTCTCAGCACAGTATATAAAACAAATAGCAGATTTTTCAATTACAAGATGACATGTACTATAAAGGCAAAGAGCTAACTATAGCTTCTTTTTAATGGTGCCTTTGGGGTTTAAAGCATCCTTACAAGAGAAAGACGTTTATAAAAAGTCTTGACTTCTATAATGTTAGTTGGAAAAACTGTATGTATCCCAGTGCTCAGTGGTGTACCTGTATCTTTGAGGGATTGTTTGGGGCCCTATCTGTGAGATTAATTTTAGTCAGTATCTTTATTTATTTATTTTTAGTTTAATTAAGCTTATTGGTACATTTTAAATATACATAATGATCGCTTTCAACATATGGATTTTGTACCTGGACATGGCTTACCTCAATTTCTTTTTTCCTTTCGTATCCCCTCATCCTCCCGTCAATATCTCTTCCCCTCCTTATTTATGAAGCTTTTTTTTCTTTTTGTCTTCTTGAGACAGAGTCTCGCTATGCAGTTCAGGTTGGCCTTGAGCTCACTTTGTAGCCCTGGCTGGTCTCGAACTCATGATGATCCTCCTGCCTCAGCCTCCCAAGTGCTGGGATTACAGGCATGTGCCACCATGCCTGGCTTTACAGAAGCTTTGTTTCCATTTTTGCTGCTTTTCTCATTTTCTTTCCTTCCTTTATCCCCCTGTCCCCCAGTTCCCCTTCCCAATAGAGCATTTTTTTCCTATTTTGTAATATCTGGTATATAGTCTGGTCCTTATTTACACTTTCGGTTTTGTACACCAGAGAACGCCAAAAAAATTGTAGCTTTGTCATTCTATAGCATGTTTTTTCCTTGTAATTTTAATTTTACTTGAAATTGAACAAATATTAGAGTATCTTTATTTATGCCATGTATGAAAGCATAAAAATGATACCTAAAAGATTTATTGATGGTTCAAAAGGAAAATAAATGTGAATAAAAGATATATATAAAATTTAGAATTGGTATAAAAGGTTAGAGAAATGGATTCATTCAAATGAGGTAAAACAATAGTGACAACAAAAGATATTATATGATTAGTTGTGTTAAAGGTCAAACCAAATGGAGAAAGTGTTGGAAGATTTAGAAAACTTACATATTCCCATGACATACTCATGTATAGCATAAAGAGTTTCAGCTCTTGTGCAAGTCCACTGGCATTATTTCAGGAGAAATTAGAAATTTATGTTAGAGAAAGTCTTACTAGTTAGACCCAGTTGATTAAGAAAATAAAAAAGATCCCTGATTCATACTTTCCTGAATGTGAGCCAGGAAAATTCATTAGGCAAGAAATATTTAAAAAGCCTGGTAAGAATTGATAATCTATGGGTGCCTTCATGTTCAGGTAACTTTTTCACTTGTATTAATAGTAAAAAATAGAATAATAGAAAATAAACATGAATCAGAATTTACAGAGTAATGGGAACTAGATACCACAAAGATAAAAGAGGTAATGTGAATTATTTAGCTTGAGAAAGAGTGTGCTAAGGAATGAGTTGATACATGGGTTTCAAGTAAGTGAAGGGGTTTTCCTAAGGTGTCTAGCATTGATTTACCTTTGCAGAAGGATAAGTTGGCTATTGGTTGGTCTTTCTAGGCAATACCAGGATAGGGAGAATTCTTTTCATTGAAGTTACTGAATTAAATGACCTTAGAAAGTCTTTTACAATAAAATCAGTGAATTGTTTGTATAGCTGGGAGAAGCAGTGTCATTTCTGGGGACTTGAAAAATGAATGGTTGTTTCTTCTGAAGAATGGTGACAGTTCTCTATACAGCGTATGCATTTTCTTAAATTGAGACTTTTAAAGATGGAGAGACGTGCCACCAAATAATGCACAGAATGTACTCTATAGATTTGATCTTTAAAGGAAAAACAAGTTTTAACATTTTAAAATAGCTTGGCCACGGATGCATTTTTTGATGTATATGACCTATGTTCTAAGGAGTCTGAGAAAATCCCCCCATTATTTCATGTGCTATGTCCCTACTGTCTCATAATGTATTATTCCCCAGTGAATACTTGTGCACTAACTCATCTGAGGGCAGAGTTCTTTTCTAGGCCCAGATAGTCTGATTTTTTCCAGAGAACAGTTTTCTATTTCTACGTGACATTTCTCAGAAGGAAAATAGAAAGTGTAGCACCATTGGTTTCCCATTATAAAATAAATATCATTATTGTATGTTTATTCTGGTCTTTTTAAAAATTTGATCATAACTTTTTATTATAATTAAATGTACATTGTAGTACAATGGGAAAGTTAGACTTTAATTTTCAATGACGCAGGGCTCTTTTTTTCTTTTCCTTCCATGAGAAGCCTTTATTTTTTAGGGTGTGGAGGGTAGTATATAATAGTCTTTATAAGGGATTACATAGAAAAGTTCAAGAAAGATAAGGAACTTTTAACTTGATATAGGTAGAAAAGTCCTTTGCTGAACATTAATGGAACTTAACATCATAGAACAGTGAGTATACTAAAACTTATTTTCAGAGGGTCTATTCTAAGTTCTATAATTGAAAGATTTTTTGAGTACCTAATGAGCACTCAGTCTATGTATGCAGTCTTTCTTCTGGTTCTGACCAGACTTTCCCTACTAAGTTTTTAAATAGCAATTATTTTTCACTTTTGCATGGCATACGGAAACATGTCCAGTGCCATAACTAGGTTCATGTGACATACACGTATCTGCTATTGCTACTCAGTATTTTCTCAGGCAGTTTTCATTTTAATATGTTTTTACACATGTATTTCTATATGCTGATTATTATCTTTTTGAGTTTTTTTTTATTTTTATTTTAAAAATAAAAGGAGGAAAATATTAACAGACAGACGACATTTTACAAAATAGCAGAGGAACAGCACGGACAGTATGGAGTTACAAACAAAGTGGTAGGGAATTAACAATGATTGATGTATTACATATTGGTATCTTCAAAGTGGTTTCTCATGAAAACAGATATAGACATGCAATGCTGATCAACCAAGGACTCACTGATAGTTTCTTTCAGCAAAGAAATACAAGACAGTAGAACAGCCATGTTGTCTATCCTGCATATACATACATACAAAATTTGTCCTTCTTTCCCTTCTCTTTTCCCACATCCCAGTTGCCCTTTACCTTTGAGTGCTTTCCTATCAGTTCACAATGTCTATCATATCTCCTAGTTCAAATTAACTCTTTCAGGTTTTACACTAGTGAAACAGTGCGGTGCTTGCACATGTGTGTTTCATTTATTTCACTTATGATTATGGTCTGTAATTGTGACCATTTACCTATGAAAGCCTTCAGTTTATCTTTCTTTACAGCTGAGTAATATTCCATTGTATAAAAGTACCACAATTTTCTTATCCAGTCCTCAGTGGATGGACATTTGGGTTGCTTC